GTCTATTCATGAAAATTATTACCCACCTAAACCGATTAATTAGCAAACTATATTTTATAAACACGTGAACCCTTTTTCTCTATCATGTTGTTTTTTCTTTATTTACTTTTTCTAACCCTATCCTTTCTTTGCCTTCATTAGTTGAGGCTCTTATTTATTCATCAAAACAAACTTTCACTCGGAATGGTAATGAAAAGGTCTAAATCGCACTTTATGAACATAATAGATATCAATTCACAACAGGTGCCTTTTAACTTATTCATAGAAAAACACTTGCATCTGCAAGTATTTTATCAACATTTATTAATTCTTTCTTTCTCTCTCTCTCTCTCTCTCTCTCTCTCACTCACTCTCCTCCATCAATCCCTTTCGTCCTACTCTTCAGCTCATCTAACCGTTCCATCAAATTTTATTACCGAAATCAAAGGGAAATCGTATTTTTCTACGTTATCAACAAATAAACGCTTATATTACGTCATTGCTAAAGTAAAATCCAAATATTACGCTAATACTTGTAAAGTGAATCTCATTCTCTTCAGTATTTGTGTACTCGGCACAGTTCTTTAGTGGCTGTAGTTAATTATTTATATATTTAAATAATGATAAATTCTATTAGCGGCATTAACAGGCCTATCAAGGTTAGGGATAGGGGCCATAGGGTTGTCACTCAATTCAGTATTCGGCTGTTATTTTTATTTTTTAGGCCCAAAAAGAAAATAACACCCTTAGGGTTTGAATAAAGTAAAATATAGCAAATATTCGGTTTTGAATTACAGTAATAAGGTTTTCTAGCCAAAAAATGGAATCAAATTTAAGGCTATAACAAAATTTATTTCCTTCTTTATTGTCGTTGGTTTAACGAAAGCATAATATTGTTTTTTGGCTTAATAAAATAACTGCAAGCTAAGGAGGGGCGAAGAGGAGGAAGGAGAAGAACAGTCTTAAAGGTAATACAAAGGCTAGATTACAGTTATATTATAAACTAACAGTCATCCTTCTTTCTCTTCGCATAAAACACAACAGCAACCCTAAAGCTAAACTAACTAAACAAACATAGCCCAACAGATAATATCAGATTAGTACCGCCAAATCAATAATCCCCTCACAACAGGTGACGGCCTCTCGTCTTTCAGTGAGACACCAAGTGCCGTCACTCCCCGGAGAGGGACGTTGCCTCTCTTTTATTTAAGGGAAAGAAAACTCCAGACTACTTTTATCGACGAGCCTCAACAGGGGAGGCGCAGGTGGGCGGCGTCGCTTTACCTTAAGGGCGTCATTTTCGTCCCTATCGATTTTCTCACACTTTGTGTGACAGAAAAGTGAGTAAGCATCTCCAAGTGGTAAATTAAGCAAGGGTTTGCCAATTATGAATTTTTAATTAAGAGTCTATTTACTTACGAATTGATACACTCATTGCCCTTTTAGAATTAGATATTTCCCACGGAATTTTTCCCATTCGCACCCCCGCCTTTCGGCTATAATGTTGCCGCATATGCGCAAAGAATTAAAGATGTAGTCACGTGACCTTTCCACACATCGGTAAGGCACCTTTCCGCTGGAGAAAAAATTTTATATTGGAAATTCTCCTCTTCTTTAGCCTCTCTTATCTAATCGATTCTGAGATTTATTGTCCATTAATAGCAGCTTATGAAATGTTTTAAGACACACAAGGAGAGTTGTAAAGCGAAAAAAAAAAGAGTCGTGCAGATTGTTTCGCCTTTGTTTTTTAGTTGTTGTACTCTCTCTTCATCCGAAAAGAAGAGAAGAATGAGTTGGGGCGGAAGATAATAGGAGAGAGAAGGGGAGGGAAAGAGCGTATTCTCATTACTTGAATGTTTTTTGAATGTTAACAATACTTTGTACGTTTTTTTTGTGTTTTGTTCGAGAGAAAGAAAGAAAGAAAAGATAGAAATCCGTTTGATTTATTGGTCGAATAAACTCAACAAATACATTTTTTCAATTTGTAATAAGAGAATTTATTATTTCTACAGATTTAAAACCAATAACAATGATCACATTATCGACGTTAAAGATGGAGATAATATGGATTTTATATGTCCCTTTTACAAAACCGGAAGAAGAGGATTTTTTGAAAAATACATTGTCTATCAGGTACGTCAATCTTACATCTACAGTATGCAATATACATACATACAAACAGATGCAGAATTCATCAATTATACCTGTCTAAATTTACATGTAAAGTTATAGTATACGGGTATAGCACAGAGATTCTGCTTTCCATTTTATCTATTAAGCAATTTATCATTTATTATCAGGTTGGAGAGTCTGAATATGAATCATGTAGCGCTCCTGAATCAAGTTCTCCGAAATTAATTTTGTCCTGCGATCAGCCTAAAACGACTAGAGATTTCTCGTTATCTTTCCAAGAGTTTTCTTCCAACCCCTTTCAGGCTTTCAAGATCGGCAATAGCTACTATTTTATCGGTAAGATAATTTAAATATTTATATGTTATTCCGCTCAGTATATACAAAATATATACATAAAGATAAAATAGTTATACTATACAATAAATATACAAAATACAGCTCTTTATCCTGGTTCCACGCACGGAGGGCCTTGTGCTAAAAATTATATGAAAGTGAAAATAAACTTTCGAGAAGTTTCTGAAGGTTCTGCAAAATATGGTAAGTAGTTTTTTAAGCGAGAGAATATTTTTCCTGTCAGCTGTTTAGAGTTAGAGTTTAAAGAATTTCGAGAACGAACAACTTTGATCTAAACCCATTGCTGTACAGTTTTCTTTAACCGACCTTTTCACCTTGACCTTGCTAAGTTGAGCGGAAATAAGTTTGCACCGTTCAAATTACGTTTGGTTGGCTTCTTTCTATAGTCTAGACATTTGATATTCGTTTCCCTTGTTTTCCTTTCAGTTTGTGCAAATATTTATGGAATTTTCTCAATTCACAAAAATTTTTTGGTTTAATGTTCTTTATCAGCTTTCATTATATCTTATCTTTGTTGAGAGAGAGAGTTAAAGCTGTGGGGCGTATAATTTATAGCATTTAATGGCATCCTCCTCCATTTTTTAATTCTCCCTCTATCTATCTCTCTCTCTCTCTCTCTCTGTCTTTCTCTTGCTCACTCACTCACTCACTCTCTGTCACATCTTCTTTTTATCTTAACTTTAAATACCTTTTTATTAAAATACTTAATCAAAACAAAGATTGTTGCTTAGTAACAGAAATGAGAGTGTATTGGTTTAGTCTACAGTTTTCTATATCTAAATAATTTTTAATATTTCTAATGTAAACATTAAGAAATCAAATAGAAAGGAAATGGAGAATAATGGCTATGGAAATGCATATAAGAGTAACGTCGATTTAGATATTTATAAGTTTTTCCTCCCTCCCCTCTCCCTCCTCCCCCTACCCTCTATTTTTGTGAAATATTCAATGAAAGCGGTAGAGACATCTACTCGGTCATTAATTAATTCATTGTCGCTATCCATTTATATAAAAAGTATAGAAAGATGAAGAAGAAGATAATGAAAACTAAAATATAGACAGACTGCTCCTACTCATTGCAAGAGAGAATTTGTTCGTTCTTTTCGATATTCTTTTGCATGCATCATGCAATATTTCAACATTTTCTTTAATATCCTAAACAAGAGAAAAAAAACTAGAGCACGTAGTTGTAAAACAATTAACAAAAAAAACCATAAAAAACCTAAACAAACCAAAAAAAACAAACAAAAATTAAAAAGAAAAAAAAGAAACATGCATGATTTGTTGTTTGTCACACCAGCAACCGAACCAAATCCGATTTTTTCAACAAATAAAGAATATACAACAACAGGTGGGCTGACCTTTTCTGTTGTAAATAAATATTGCATTTTGCATTATGAACCTAATTAGACAAGGGTTTTAAAATGATAAAATAGATTAGGATGACGATAAGATATAGTAGGAACTAAAGGAGTAATATACTCTATTACATAGAAAGATATATTACTAATATTAAGGAAAAGTAGAAATTTTGTATCGCAGGGAGATGGAATAATGTTCTTAATATTCCAACTAATGTTTCTCATTTACACTCTTATAGCTCCCGAAGATGATGAAGATATTGGCTTGAGAATTGAAGATACTGAGAAAACTTATAGCCGTCCCTACGATTTCAATAATAACGGTATTTGATTAATTCCATATCTTTATTATTAAATCTATCTCCTTTCTTGTCTACTAATATGTCCTTTTTCTTATATTTGCTTCCAGGTAGGAAAACTGTCCGCGACAATACCGGAAATGATGCCTCCGGATCTACAAGCGGCCATAAATCATCTAGTCTAAGTCATGTCACAACTTTTCGGCTGCCAGTACTTCTAGGCCTGCTTCTGATAGTGTATTTGACTAGGTGATGGTAACGCCATCTACATTCCGGCGGACTGTGATTTTTTTTAAAAAAAAAAAGAAAAGAAAATATTATTAAGAATGTTTTTTCATGTAAAAAAGAAACTAAAAACGAAAATAAGAGAAGAAATTAAGGAAAAAATAAAAAAATATTAAAATTTCGCTTCTAAAAAACAGAAAAAACAAAAAAAATACCAAAAAAGTGAAAATTTTGAAAAACAATGAAAGAAGAAACAAGCAAAAGATTTATCATCATTTTAATCATTTTTACTTATTAATTATTAAAAATTCTAAAGTGAAAACAATTTGTTCGGTGTTTAAAAGTTGTCTTTGTTAAGGTATCGATTATATTTCATGTGTACAGGAAAACAGAATACATTATATAACATATAAACTATCTTGTCTTCCTTTGTAGAAGTAACAGTTTTACCACTGCAAAAATAATAGCAGATTTTTAAGGATTAATCAAATAATTAAAGTTAAATAAGTAGAATTGTAAATAACCGATTTTTCATAGATTTATCAAAGTAAACAATAAAGGAAAAATGCATATTTGTACACGATATACTAAGTTCTTTCCTCTCTTCTCGCTACGCTTTTCTTCCCTCCCTTATCTTTTGTCTCTCTCGTCTCTTCAATTAGTCAGTTTGCCTGTGTTCTCCAACAAAAGTCTAATATCTTATACAATGGTATTGTACACAATACAGTGTGTCTATTATAAAAATGGAATATTTCAGACGTCCTCGTTCGACGGCCGACGCTATGGGAGAGGGAAAAAGACTAGCCTTGAGAGACGGAAATAGAACCCCTAATAACTAACCCGTAAGCTATGTATGTCAAGGTTATTTGCCTCGCTTTCTTCTCTTCCTCAGTCGGTAGAGTGGAACGACCATCTACAGTGAGAATAAAGCTCGTGTATTAAGTTTTCATTGTGATAATTAGTCGCGTTGATGATACGAGCTAAACTCTGGCAAGAATTTCTCAAATTCATTAATTAAATTAGTTAAAAATTTGAAGGAATAAAACTCAATAAGACATCATCAATATTCCTTATTGATACTTTCCTACTCGAAGATTATCGATATTCTTTAGTCAGAAAAAAAATATTAACCTAAATTCAAAATGTATTTAATGTATTTCTACTACTGTAAATATTTTATCAGCAACTTAACACTTGTAGCATTGATTTCTTCTAGGCTTTATGAAAACATTACCATTGTTCACTTGCATAAAAATCTGTTTAAGGGATGGGACATCTAATATCTTCTATTCTTTATATTTTACTCTATTCATCAAGCGTTCGATCTTTTGGGCCTGGAAATAATTTTCCATCGGGTAATGGAAATGGCGGAAACAACTGGGGTAATGGAAATGGACACAGTGATGGAAGCGAAGGAACTGGAGGAACAGGAGGAACTGGAGGATATGGAGCAACTGGAGCAAGTTCAGGTACTTCGGGGACTGTAGGATCTGGAGTTTATTTTCCAACAAACACATGGAAGAAGCTATATTATCACCAATTGCCTCAGTTTCTAGACTGTGAGCTAATCGTCAAACATGTTGACGTTGACAAATGGAAAAGTGTATTAATATAAGCGAATTAACTTTATTCCTCTTTTTTAATTCCTTTTCTTTTCATTTTTTCTATAGATTCATATAAACTCTAGGCAAGTTTTTAATCAACCCTCATCCACTTGTATTCCTTTTAGCTTCGGAAATGTTTCGGGTAAATTGGTTACTCTTTTCATCCATTATGAATCTATGTACTGGGATAATAATTGTAAGAATTTACCAACTTCTATGGCTGAATTGAATGCTACAGGAGTTGTATTCCAAGCATTGGAAAGCCATAGTAAGTACATTTCAGTAATTTTTCTTTTTAGATTCTTATATCGCGTGATAATGAATAAAAATTACATACATAACAGAAAGGCATATCGAAGACCTATTACTTTCAAAGAATTTTCAGATTCCAGTTGGCTACACCGTTAGTCAAGTAGAGCCTTTCTTCCATAGCGATAGTCATTCGGTTATTGTTACGGAAAATTCTGAATTGCCGTTCTTATACTCAGAAAGAAACTTACTTATGGATTATGGCAATCAAAAGTTGGTATTTATTTAAAGTAGGATTGTAGAGTCAAAAAATATCAATATAAAAATATAGCAGTAGATTCTATCGTTCATTTCTTTTACAGTTTTGTGGCATCCGCCGTACTCGATAGGAACCAAGCGACTTGTGTTCAATCCTATCCGTACAATGTCTTTAATCTGCCGAAAAGGGCTTGGATACATACTGTTAAAATATGCCTACAGGCAACTGGTATATAAGAATAATTAACATTGTAGTTAGCACGCTCTTGATTCAATTTAACAAATACTCTTTACCTTTCCAGGAGGCTCTGCTAAAGTAGGAACAAACTCTTTCGCCACCATGTGTACAGAAGCGCCATCTGTATTGCCGTGTTTATATTTCAATTGTCAGAAACTAAAGAGAGGAAGCTACATACAAGCTTCGTTTAGTATCGGAGTGAAAATATGCGAAATAGAAATATTTTCTTATAATTTGGCTTACGGTTCAAAAATAATACTATCAGATGATACAATGCTCAATATGATACATTCAAAATCGTTAATAGCTGACTTAAATACAGAAGATGAAGTAAGCTCGGCCTTAAAACTGAAATCATGCCATAAAGTAGAAATAGTATTCAATAGAAGAGTTTCAATACAATCTTTCGCCGCTAGAATTTCTTGTAAATATACTTTATTCATATATTTATTCCTTTATTGTTTCTTATACTTTACTTAGGTAAAAGTCAGGAATGCGAGAAAATTATTCAAATCAAGCCTACTATTGAAAATGATGAAAACAACTTTTGTGAAGAGTTTAGAATGGAAAAGATGTCAATGAATAATTTTTTTTGGGCTAGATTCCATTGTGGAGGGCAATCGAATTTCGTTAGAATAAAGAATATAATAGGACTAATTCATATTGATGAAGTTGAAGTGTTTGGTGTAGACGGTAACGAGACAATTAATAACTGTAATCAGTCCAGTAGCTTGAATGGCAGAATGAATTGTAAACAATTCGCCCTTTGGAAAGTGGCAAATAATAGCAAAGTTTCACTTAATCAAACGTACAATCCATTCTCGTTGATAGACGATCGTTTTAATACATGCGTTCCGTTTAAGTTCCTGTATTATTACGAATGGAAAAGTGAATTCTATTCAAAACCATTCACAATCACCTTTACGAAAATCGTTTTCGAGTTGGTTGAATTAAAAAGGGATCCCATACTTGTTGTGATCTATAAGAATAAAGATAAAACCTTTAGTCAGACAATACCCATAAAGGCAACTGGAATTGATATAACCTCGGGAAAGAGTGTTTTATATTGGACAACTTCACTCTCTTTTCCCCCGTTAGAGGTGTATCTTAGAGCGACAAGAATCGACTACGGTTCGTTATGCGAAATTATACTTGAAGGAGAAGGGCATCAACCATCTTTAAAACAGTTAAATTGGAAAGAAAAGGTTGAATTTAAAAATCGAATAACTTGCGAGGATTCCGATGTTCTAAACGATTCAAACTGGAACCCTCAATTTTCTAATTGTATGAGTTTTCAATATGCAAATCAAGAGTATCCTTGGATAATTTTTGATCTTGAAAGTCCGTATGTAGTTAAGAAATTACTGATTTCTTATTTGAAAGCAATCTCATCAATTGACATTTCGCTTCTTAACACATCGAGAGGAGTTGAATACTTGGATAAGAGGAAATTTCCCTACAATTCTCAAAGAATTATTTGCGTAACGAAACTTTCCTTAAAACATTTTAGTGATGAAATATTTTGCAGAGAAAATGCAGTTGGATCTTTATTGACTATATCAACTTTTAATCGTTTAGATTCTTTACAGATTTGCGAAGTAAAAATATTTGGTGAAGAAACCACTTTTATAGAGCACGAAGTCCTTTTGAGGACAAATGGAACAATTAGAAATGGAGATCGTATAGCCTTGGATACATTTTCAAATATAACAGCAATTTCAATTAGACCTAATAGGAATATCTCGGAAAAGCTAATAATACACCTATCGAATAATCAAATAATTGATAAAGACCAATTGCATTTAAGTGATGGATCGTTAACTATCGATTTTAAGGAGTTAGAAATAGGAGATGAAAATAATAATGTCTTATTACCAATATCTCCTATGAATCATGTGAGATATCTACACATTTTTGGTAACTTTACCGAAACTATACTACTAAGAATATTCGGATTATTCGAAAGAGGAAGTAATAAAATCTATATACCATTGCAAATATTCTTAATTAAGTTAAAATTAGACATACATACATACAAACAGACGAATAAATTCTCTTTTTCCCTTTTTATTCAGACCTGTTTCGTCGAATAGCAATCAATTTACAACTAGCAAATGGCCAAGTTAAAGATGAACACGATACTTTTCAAGAATGCGTTAAATTCTGCCACGACAACAAAGATTGTTGGGCATTCTCTTGGAATAGACACGATAAATGCGTCTGCTCATTTAAACCGGAAACTGGGGGAACAGTGAGAGATTTTTACCAGTATGATAATAGCAGCAGTTTGGAACTAATTAGACAAAATGGCTCGGAAATTTATTCTTTGTGCTTAACAAAGAAACAATTGAATATTATCCATTGTTGAAAAAGCTGACTTTTATATTTATATTTATAGATATATTATGTATAAATATCGTAAATACAGTAAAAATATATACTGCACATAGACGCTTTATGTTCGTGTAGGAAAGTTCTTTCCTTTCGATTAAAACTATGATTTCTCTTTCTCTCTATCTCTTACCAAGTTTTCCATTATCCGCATCATAGAATTTGAATATAATATATATCTAATAGAGCACAGTTTTATGACTGCATTATTTAGCATTTAGGATGAATTTTCACAAACAGAGAGAGAGGGAGAGAGAGAGAGATATCGAGGGAGGAAAGAGTATAGGAATAATAATTGTAATTTCAACCAATATTTTGTCATTAATTATAAAATTTCGAAGCGATCAATAGTGAACTAAATTAGTTTTTCACTTCTTAGAAATACGTAGCGTGTTATTAGTAAAGTTACTTTTATTTTTAAGAGCGTTTGTAAAATTTAGTGACAGAATTATCTCTAAGTTCGTTATCCTATGGAGATTGTAAATAATTAAGAGACTCTACTTGATACAGAAATGAGAGGATTAAGTTAGAGTATGATGAGAGCATTCTGGGACAAACTATTAAAAGACAAACTGCTTCAAGTATAGAATTTATGGAAAATGATAAATATGATATTTAGAAAGAGCTGGAAATGAATACATAATAATCCAATTAGTTGAAAAAGGAAGCAAAAAAGGGAGTGAGAGAGAGAGAAAGTAAAAACCTGTTTGCAACAAGTACATTATTTTCATAACCCTTTTCTTATCATATATAGAATATAATATTTTCGTATTTTTCAAACTTTTAAAGTAAATAAACAAGTTTTTATAGACTGCATAATTATTTTTCTAATAATATTATCAAGCCTAATCATAATACTGATTATTCAATAAATACATTATATACTCAAATGTTTGCCTACTCAAATAGACTAGGAGGCTGTTCTGTGTCAAATAAGTCTAGGTGGATGGTTAACAATTAATTATTAAAATATATATTATATAGCTATATACTGTGTATATAGTATACTTTTACATTGTATGTGCGTGTGTGTGTGTGTGTGCCATAGCATATGTGCTACTTTCACAACGATGATACACTTATTACAATTCTATAGACAATGTATAAAGCGTTCCATTCGCAGTGATTTCAATTCAAATGATTTGGTTTATTTATTGATTATATCAAAAAAAAAAGAAAATAAGTATCAAAGTATCAAAGAGATAGGAGAAGGGAATGTCTGCGTGATGTTTTCTCTTGCAATTACTCTTCTTTTATAAAGTAGATATTACTGTGTATTTACTTTTTTTCAACAACAACAACAATACGTTTTCTATAAAAAAACATCATATACAATATTTATTTATTTGTTTATTTATTTAAATTTTAATGTTGTAACAAATACTTTGATCATTTGTTTATCTTACTTGACTTACTTTTCGCAACTTTTTGTAAGGAAACTTTAACATTGAATTTTATGTCACGTAAACGCCAAAGTTTAATTAAGAACGTTTTGAATAATTCAAAAAGGTTGTACAAGTACTTTTAATGCATTCCTTAAACTTTGTTCAGTTTAATGGTTTGCACTGAGATAATATAGATCTAGTTTTATGAATAATTCATGCTTCAGTGTTGGTAAATTGTAATAAGTACAAATGATTTATTAATATGGTTGAACTGGGAAGTGCTTTTCAGATATAATTTCAATAATTTACAAAAAATACTAATAACTTTGCCTTTCTTTGTGAAATCTATTCTTATACTGAATGCTGATCCTTCTCTCTACTAATCAAAAGATTATGTACATATAATATACATACAGTATCAATAATACTCTGTATTTACCGTTTGCGTGTACGAAATTTGCCTTCTAGCTTTAATAATAAAGTATACATGTATGTAATATATTACCGTATATTCATCAATTATTATCGTCAATACCCAGATCCCTCTAAGCAATTTTAAGCTTTTTCTGTACGAGTTTTTCGTTGATTAACTCAAAACAAAAAATCTTTGGCACTGAAAGAAACTTATCAAAACCTTTTTTACTATATACATTGTATCCTCTTTCATATGTTTATAATAACCCTTATTATTAGTTTAGCTCTTGTTTTTTTCAATAATTACAAAAGAGAAATACAAGGAAAACTACATAGAAACAAAGGAAACGTAAAAAGAAGCAAAACTTCTCGGCGTTCTGTTAACGATAATACAAACAATTGAATTTTCTGAATATATAAAATATTAAGGTAAAAAGTTATTTACTGTTCAAGATAAAATGATTAATACCAAAGGGAATTAAAAAATCAGTAACCTAATTCATCAATTATGAAAAGAAAACAATGATATAAAAATATTGATAAAGTAGTTTGTGAGTTATCTATAGTTTGTAGTAAGGTGTCTTTTGCAGACATGATACTGTGCTGTTAGAGTGATTTAGTGTTATCTGGAGACAAGTGAATATATATATAGATGTAGAATTATAAATACATTAAATTCCCCTTGAAGTTACTGTGCAGTTTTGTGTTTGGCCGTGTGAACCATTCGAAAATTTTCTTGTACTTTCAGGACTTAGGATTTTTATAAGAGCTAATCTAAATGCTTTACCAGAGGCACAATACAAGTAAAAGTTCAATATATAATTAGAATAGAATAGTATTTGAAAACTATTCCAAAGCAAACCAGTATTATCTGGACCAATGCGGGCTTGAATGTTATTAAACTCTCTCGAGAAAACGAGCAATGGAGCAGTCGTTACGAGAAATGCAAAGCTGACTGTTAGAAGCATGATGGTTGTTGACTTGATCTTATTCTGATCTTTATTTATAGAACCTTGCGTTAGATTCTGTTGAGTTCTCCTCGATCTTAACATTAAGGAAAGGATGATCAAGTTTCCCGTCAGGATAAAGGCAAAAGGGATAAAACTGCCGAATATTTGATCGAAAAGTTCTCTAGCTTCACTCAATCCTTTATTCCAGCCGTCGTGGCACACTCTTATTGTTTTAGTCTTACTTTCCAGTTTCATACCGAATAAAACATATGAATTAGAAGCGAATGTAACCAAAAGAACAATTATTATAGAAATCCACTCGACCCGATGCGTAATCCAAGCTTTAACCTTTAGTGGAGATATTAAACTCAATGCTCTCATACCCGTAACGAGAACTAGGAGCCATGCTGATGAGTGAGTCATCCAAAATTCTAGAAATGGTTGCAATTTGCAAAGACCGGTATTTACATTTCTTATTTCTTTTTCGCTTACAGATGTAGTGAAAACTCTTAGAACGCCAACCAACAATACAAGTGAATCAACAATCGCTAAAGCTACTAAAACTCTGGATGATGGCACCTTTCGAAAAGACTTTGATCTAAGAACAATAGTAGCCAAAAGATTTCCACCAATACCAATTAGAAACACAATTGGGCACAATATAAGATACATAGCCTGAATTTTCCATGCTGTTGATTGATAGTTGATTTGAACAGGCGGGGTTCCGTAAAAATTATTTTTCGAGTTATCAACCAAACTTGAGTTGTTTCCAGACAGAGGCATTTTACGTGAATGACCGCTGTTTGAGGACAATATAATAAAGATAATAATAAAAAAAAAAAGAAAAAAAAAGCGGTTATGGCGTCTGTAAGTGATTGGCAAAACGACCCATTTAGTACATACATATTGTATGTTTGTTTGGATCATTAACGTAGTGTTTTTATTGGTTTCTGAAAGCTCACGACTGATTGAAAATGAATGATTGTACTGTGCGAATATTTATTATTGATTAAAAAATGCATTCATAATTGATTTTTGCACTCGGGTATGGCCATTAAGATAACTGATATCTTATTGACGGCGCAATTTGACCTAATATCCCTTTGTAAGAGAAAAGAGTAAGAGGGAGAGAGAGAGAGAGAGAGAAGTAGCCTGAAATAGTTGATAATGAGCAAAGGGAAAAGATGGGGAAAGAAAGCGAGAAAAAATACGAAATTGATTTAGGAGCTTATGTACTCACATTTTCTCTCCTTTCTCTTTTCCTTCCTTCCTTTCCTCCTTGATTTTAAGGTTTATTGGATAAATAAAACGACCAAACTATATCGCTTTTTCTTTATCAAATCCAAAGTTTTGTCATTCTCATCCTATTAGAAGCTTTCAATAATTCCCTATAAAACCATACTCTTTCTTTATAAGAGAGATGCAAATATATTAGTTAAGGTACCCCCACTTAAACTTTTGAATTATAACGCTTTAAACATTTTCTTTTTCATTATTTATAGAAGATAATTACATTTTCACAAAACATTCTCTCTCGTAGGATACTCCCACTCATCCACTCTCCAGCTTTGTTTCTTCCATCTCTCTCTCTCTCTCTCTCTTTCTCTGTCTCTCTTACTCCCCCTCCATCTCTCTCACTTATCCATCAATCTAGCATTTCACCTTCTGCGTCTTAGACAGTAAAAAGGCATATTTCCTAATTATTAAATCCTATGGGTATACATACTAATCGAAAATAGTAAAATAGTAGACGTTGTAATATCTACTATTTGAATAATGCGGGATACTTGAAAGATAAAAGTAAATTGAAAGAAGAAATAGCCGCAGCGATGATTTATATAAAGTAGCTTTGCAGGAAACTTATAAGAGTAGTATAATCATTTTATTGAATATTTCCAAAAGCATATGTCCAATGTGTAACCATCTGTTCACTTGGTCCATTCATATTTAGATTATTATTTTCAGTTTTTGCAAGTTATCATTATTTTATTAGTGCACTATCCTATACTATCTATTATTGATTATCAGTAGTATTTCGACATCGTATTTTTGTTTGTTGTTTGATTTTCATTCATTTTAATCTCTTTTTAAGGTTTATTAAGAAGAAAAAGAAGCGCACTGCCTATTTGTTTTTATGTTTGAATGTTTGTATAGTTAACTAATCGTGGGAGTGTCAATATGTGTTTTACTAGAAATCTAAATGATTTCCCTTCTTACGAGTCAATTTCTGTGTGTGAATAAATTCAATTCTCTAAATATACAAGTTTAAGAGATACATTTTCGCAGAATGAATAATATTTATATTGATTCTGAAGGCATCTGTTAAACTATTTACATTAAAAGAATAAAAGAGATTATATACTTTTGTTTCTCCCACCGATAATCGAATATATCAAATTATCTACAAACATTTATTTCATTTACATAAAAAAAAATGACTTAAAAATTTACAAGTACCTCTCTTTCCTTTTATCTCCCAGTCCTCTTCCTTTTGCCCAGCTCTGTCCTTCACCCTGTCTCTTATTTTTACTTACTGACACACAATCTTTGCTCTACTCTTTGGCTCTCTGTATCCCTCCCTCTCTCTCTCTTTCGCTTTTCCTCTTGGTAGTAGATAACAAAAATTCAAAAAGAATATTTTTGGCCAACAGCAAATTATATATATTGTTTGTACAAGTGCAATACTTTTCGTATCTCTTTTTGATTCTTGATTTTGGCAATAAAAAGTACAAATGGCAAAATAATTTTTGATTTCTCTTCTTTTCTCCTCTCTTCCTTCTATTGCAGATGTCTTGTTAGGAAACAAATTGAGAAAGAGAAGACTCTACTCCAAGCTTAACCAGCAATCGACGATAGAACGCTCTCGCGATATTCTCTTTCTGAAATCGTTTGTTATTGGTTGATATTATCCCCCAACTAAAATGTTTCTTTAAATGATCGCATAAACCATCGTTTATATACCATGAGTGACGTCACGGGGTGACGAGTTCTTTGTCTTGTAATCAGGTAGAGAATATGACAGTGTAATCCTTTAACATTAGTTGTTTTTATTAAAATATTTGATAGCTATTTGTATTTGTATTTACTTCCGTATTATATTGTGAAAAGAGAGAAAGAAGAAAATAGGGAGAAAGGAAGAGAGAAAGAAACAAGAAGAGAGTAAATGTGTATATATGAATACGAGTATATAAGTGTACGTTACTAGAAGGATGAAAAGGTAGATTAACAGGAGATTTGTCGCACTTTCAAGCCAATAATGAATTACATATTCAATTTTGATAGAGGTGAAAGGGCGATAAATACAATTGAATAATAAAGTATACAGTAAAAAGAGAACACTTTTTTCTGAAGGGAATCATTGTTTAAATATTTAAAAGTTATAGAGAAAAATGCTAATTTCTTCACTTTTAAACTCATTTCAAGCCTAAAAATAGAAAGAATGAAAAGGAAAATTCTATAAGGGAGAGCGAGAGAAGAGAGAAGAGTGCAGCGAAAAGATGAAAATTGCGTAATAGAGATTGGATTTTAAAGTTGACAATAAAATGAAATCGTACTTTTAAATTTATTAACTTAATTAAATTGACTATAATTGCTAACCAATTTTTAAAATATTCTTTAAATAAAGCGTTAAAAGTGTTAAATTATATAGAAGAATAGTACAGGCGTAAAGACTTTTAGCCCACTCTTTGTCACGCAGAATTTCATTAGAAGCGTAAATAAACGCCACAAAGATAATCTTATGCATAAAGAGAGAAATGAAAATTCATGTACTTTTTCTTAAAAATTGAAAGAGAGGGTAAAATAGGAAAAAAAGTAATATCAATTGTATTTAATAGCCGATATAACTGCACTATATAGATATTTATAAAGGCAGAACATGTACTTACTTTTGTATAGGGTATATATACAATATGCAGTTAATATTTACTAGATAAGAAGGCCTAAAAAAGTCTATAAGCAGATAGAAGCGGTACCTAAAAGAATTGCCTGATCTCATGTAAATATCAAGAAATGAAGAAGAGTCTTAGATATTAGTAATACTGTATATAAAAACAATGATTTTGTCTAATTTTGATAATGCACTATTAATATTAATACAGTATTTGACATTTATAAAATTTTGTATTTTTTTTCGCTCTCTCTCTCTCTCTCTCATTCTCATTCTCAGCTTGCATGCTTCTCTATTAAATTTCATCATAAGTTAATTAATTATTAGTAATGCTATCATTATCTATTTTAAAGATTAAAAATAAATATTGTAAAAAACGGACATATAACAGTAGATTTACTATATACTGTGTATATATATGAACCAAGATGATACTAGTAAAGTCTGTATTATAAACTCTACTTTCTTTCATCAATTATCTTCTAATTTTCCCATGACTCTTTCTATAAATAGACGAAGCACGTAGATAGGAAAGAATCCTAGTTTTTTCAATATATCAACCAATACTGTAACAGAAATAAATTTCTCGTTATTTAAACTACTTCTATTCAACTGCTTTTCTCGATTTTTTTTTAAAAAAAAGTATCTTTCTCTCAAATTATACTAATTAAAAAGTCATTATTGAGAAATTGTGAACATTATTCAATCACCTTTTGTCTCACTTCTGTCTCATTCACTTTGTCAGTCAGCCAGGCTTAGTTAATTGGTCAGTTTCTCTTGATTCAGCTATCTATTTCTCTGAATCTTCTCTCTCTCTCTCTCTCTACTTTGTTCTCTCCTGGAAAACTTTCTCCGAATTTCTTCCTACTAATCTTCCTGCCTCTGGCTTGCTCTCTGTCTCTTTCTCTTCATTTTTTTAGTCTGTATTGCTTTGCACTCCTCTTCTATTCAGAGTTTTTACAGAGAAAAACGATTAACAATGAACGCGAAAAATCTCTCCCTCGTTATTTTCTTCGTTCAAATGTATTCCTCTCACCATTTTTTAATGTCGACAACTACAATGAAATTACATCAAATTCCTCATATTTACGATTTAAACGTTCAAGTTCCGTCATCTCAAGTTGACCTGTGGAAAGAGGTTTTTGTTTTTTATTTTATGTTAATTGAATAAAAGAAGGAGATAAAAACTTTCCTTTATTAGATTCATATAAATACAAGTGGTATTGTGGTAATTGATGAAGTAAACCCAGCAGAGTTTCCTTTGTATACGAATAAGATTGTGATTGTGACAAAATATTTGGGAGGAAGTCAATTAACGTTCATTGAAGATACTAGAATTCATGCAAAAGCTTTAGTTATTACCATACCAAGTTAATATTTTCAATATTATGATGATATTCGTAAATTTTAGACTAGTCCTACAATGAAATCTTTTACTTTCTTTACAGTTCCTAGTCTATTTTATGATCCAATCTATGAATTGATTCCTGTTGCTTTTGCTAATCCATCTTCTATAAATTTTACTTCAGAGGTAAAGATGATAATGTTAAGTTTAACGCAAGATTTACCTCTAGACGGAGGATCGAAGAATTTTATGCAGACTATAATGAATGGGTAAGAAAAATGAAAGAATATTTCAGAACAACTTCATTCTACTAATAATGATAATTTTCATTGATAATTAGAGGAGCTTTTAATCAAATAATTGATGGAAATTATTCAACTTGTTCTACACCTTTGCAGTACATTTCAGTTATTTTGCCAAGTACTAAAATGTGGGTAGGAAAGGTAACAGTCTGTACAACGGAACAAAGTAAATTACATATAGACTCATAGCTATGTATCTTATTTATTGAATAATAATTGAAATATTTATGAAAACTAGATGTTCACTTGAATGTTTCATTCTATTCACCCAATGGACCAAGTTGTAATTATACTGGAACTTCACCTGCACATGTTGGATGCCAGATATTTTCGTGTTATATCCTTAGGTATAACTCTCATTACACGAAACTCTATGTAAACTCATTGAATCACTATGTGCACTTATGTGAACTGGAAGTAACAATGCTTAATATGGCTATAGGAACAACAGTTACGGCCAAGATAAATGGTTCGACAGTATCAATACCGTATTATAGAGATCTAAATATTATAGTGGAGAAGTGTATAACAACTAATTTTAAACTTGGTCGCGATGTTTTCGTTCAAATTCTAATGACGAGAATCGATTGTAAGCGTTTCTTTTTATTTATTAATTTAATTATATATTCACTGGTTTATTCATTTAATTATTTTTCGCTTTAAAGGTTCTGGAAGTCTTTGTTCTGGACATTTTCGGTTTAGGGCAATTATGGATAAGGGGGAAAAAAACTACTGTCCTTCACTTACAACCAAACCAAATAGTCTCGAATGGATTGTTTGGCCGTGTTTCGGAATTACTTCTCACATTATTTTAGTTAACGATTTAACTACTACACGCATAATTAGTATAGAGATTTATGGATCGGAGGTATCTACTTCTACAGCTCTACTTAACCTGCTACCTTCGACAGATTGCTCTATTATGGGTGCAAATTCAAATATAATATGCGGACAATTCTCCTATTGGACTAGTAAATCAGAAGATAGTGCGCCAAACAATTACAATCCATTCCTAATATTGGACGATAGTCATACTACTTGTATAAGTAGCGAGATATTTAAGAATTTCTCGTGGATTTCCATACTTCCCGGTCAATACGATCTGGAGAAGCTTGTTATAATCACTAATTCAACACCTCCTCTACTAACGATACCAGTCAATTTCACATTTTGCGATGACAATGGACTAGTTGAAGTTATTACAGAAAATATTAAATTTGGCGAAGGGTTATACACCTGTACATTTAATCTATCATTGTCCATTAAGCCGTCAAGTTTAAATATAACAATAGACGAAGGATATTATGGAGAATTTTGCGAGTTTCAACTCTATGGATCAAAGATATCCTCGTCTAAAAATGCAATATCAGTATCGAATTTTCAAATGTCTCTTAGCAATTCTTATAATTGTACAAGCCCTGGAGAAAAGCTGGAAGATTTTATCTGGCTTCCCTCTAGTGAATATTGTTATTCTATATACGGTAGAGTTAATGGTAAACCGTGGGTTAGAGTAAAATTTACTTATAGCTACCTAATAGAAACTGTACTAATATCGCATATGGACAACATATCGAGTGTAGATATTGGTTTGGTGGGAACATGGAGAGGTGTTGAGTATTTAACGGAAAATGAATATCCTTTCAAAAGTCAGAGGAGGATCTGCGCTACTGAAATCAATTTGAATAGGTTCAGTGAAAGGATTAACTGTCTTGAGAACGCTTATGGAAATTATTTATATGTTGGGTCGTTAAACTATAAAGCCACAATTAGAATATGCGAGTTAGGCTTTTTTGGCTATAGATTCGATTATCTTGAGAATGAACATCTATTACGAATGGTTGATAAAGTGTCGACCAGCTCATTAATACATTTTGATGGAAATTCAAATGTTACTTCCCTGTCAATTTCACCAATGTTTAATGGAGAAGGTGAATTGATTATTTACGGCCTACCTAGGAATTATCCTATTCAATTCCTAAACGAGTCTAACATTCTGTTGCGTTTAAATGAACCATTCGTAAAGAATAACGATATACTTTATGACGTTCAGCAAAGTTCAATAGAAAGTTTACTTTTCGAAGGAGATTTTACAGCAGAGCTATTTGTAAGAATTTTTGGAATTTTTAAAAGAGGAGGTTGACATTGATACATATATATATATTTAAATTCGATATTCTTTTACTTTATTTATCGTTTCAGTCTACTCTAAACCTATTGTGAACGATGCTAAACTCTATCAAGGAACCTCAAAACTATTTAACACTTTTCAATTGTGCAGTAGCGAATGTCTAAAAGACTCAAATTGCTGGGCATATTCATGGTCGAAAGATTCGTGTAAATTTTCATATTCTCCGAAAACAAGTGGACAAATTATAGATTTCTATAAGTATTACGATCAAGACCAGTATCAAGTTCGATATGAAAAAACCGGAAGCGCAATTTTTTCAATTTGCGTTCAAAATATAACGAACGAACTAAATGAACGGTGTCCCAATTGAAACAGATGACATTGATTATAAAATATATGTCAAATAATCTATATAAAGGAAAGGCGAGTGCCATAAGTATTCATATCATCTCTTCTTCTAACTAAGGAAATAAAGATTTATTCAAAATTAATTTTTTGATGATTTCTCTTCTCTTTCCATTCATATATTAAAAGGGAAATATGAAGGTAAAGAATGGGGAACAGATTAATTTTCCTTGTATATCTCATCATTATCATTTTGAATATAAAACAAAAGATATCGACAAATATATATTTATGTATATTCAGAATTTTTTGCAAGTGCATAACAAAGAGAATTTCCTACTAATTATATTCTTCAAGCTTAGCATTCAAACCTCTAATCTCTTTTGGAAAAGAGAACAAAAGGGAACAAAGTATTCATTTTCGGAAAATACGAATTGCTCTATTTCTTTTATTTCAAAAGTATCTAAAATAATATACTTTATTGTAAACTTTACTTACATTATAACTAACTCGTGAATGTTTTACTTTTTCTTCTCACTTTTCTTACATTTTAAATAGAATAACGCAAATTATAGACAAACCAAAGAAAAAGACATACAAGGAGGAAGTTCCTTTTTAAAAAGTTTACACTAGGGTAAATAGGGAAGATAAACGAAAGAGGAGGAAACTGTACGTTAATGTTATAATTTATATCTTTCTTTTTTTTTAAAAAAAAAATTGAAAAGAATGAGGAAACAACTAAAACATTTCTAAATTGCCGCCTTCTATCGGATATTTTAGAAAATACATTATACTTTTTATGGTAAAGTAGCAATTTCAAAACTAGATTAAATAAGGATAATATCTAATTATACTATTCTACGGCATGTACAACTCTGCGATTGTCCATCATCTACTATAAGAGATCACTTCTTTCCTTTTGAACAGCAACTTTAGTAAACCATCTCTGAACTGCTTGCCTGTTGCGCAGTATAGATAAAAATTCAGCACTGAATTTAAATGAAAGAGAAACCACGATACATCGTAAAAGATCTGAGCGCCTTCTTTTCCAAAGTTTTCATCTATTACTTTGTAACTATACGATATAATCATAAAAGGAGAAGTTAATACTAGAAATATCAAAGATATGGCCAATAGCATAAATGTTAAAGATTTCGCTTTGTCTTCGTCGTCTTTCTTTCTACCTGTTAGACTACTTTGAATTCCCTTCGATCTCGTAATACTTATCAAGATGGCGATATTTCCAAAAAGGATTAATATAAAAGGTAGAAAACTTCCAACAATCCCTTGTAACCATTTCCTTATTTCGAAATGAATTGGTTCTTTATCAGAGCAAACTTTTCCGCTTGTTCCTTCAACAATAGCAATCGACGTCAAGTAATAAGAATTGACAATGATCATTGCTAAAAGAACAACTATTATAGATATCCATTCCGCACGAATTGTAATCCAAATTTTCGATTTAAGTGGGAATAGAATCCCTAAAACTCTCCATCCAGTTAAAAGAACCAATAGCCAAGAGGATGTCTTTACAATAGTGTATTTTACATAGACGGCTGCTTTGCAAAGAGAATTACTATGTAGCCTTACATTGCTATAGAAAACAAATTTAAGATACATTCTGAGTACCGATTCAATCAAATTAAGAGTATCAACAACAGCTAAAACAATAAGAATTTTCGTCAGCGAAGCTCTTTGAAAATATTTCGAAGAGAGCAATACTATTGAAAGAATATTGCCAACAACACCAAACACAAACAGTATTGGTGTAGAAACTTTATAGAATAGCTCCGTATTCCAGGAGAAAGAGGACGATAGCGTATCGTTTGTCATTATTTATTAAGATATCTTAGCAAAATGATTCTGTGTTTTCACAACACATCTTAACAGAAATGTGTTTAATCCGACTATATAAGCAAATATTAATAATGAATACTAATGGAATAGTTGAAATCAATGAGATTATTCTTATAATTCATCTTAATAATCAGCACGTTCTTTGGCTTTACCCTTGTATCGTAAAGATGATAGATAATCTCATATGTAAACGATACAAAGAACTACGTAGATTCTGAGAGACTATTATATCTTTTAAGCCATCATTTTTGTCTAAAGTTTTTGAACAATAAAAGATTAGAGAGCTTTAACGCATAACAATTCTTTACGAAATGGTCAGTAAATGGTGAAATTGTATTTCAACATAAAAACAGAGTCTAATGACAGTTTTATTGTTAAATGCTGGCTTAGTTGACAACCTTATTATTCTATTATTTTTAACTGTACAAAGTTACAGTAAATTCCCTTTCATCTTATAACGCTAATTATACTTGTAACACTTTCATAAAGAACTAAAGGAAAACAGTGAAAAACTACATACAATACCAAAAGTTTTAAGGAGTTCTATTCAATTACAAAATAGGTTTCAATTGAATGTAAATAACTTATACGAATGCTTCATTCAATATCACAAAAGTGTTGTTTTTCTATATAGAAGAATTATACAATCAGAATTCGTGTGAGATATTTTATATCCATATTTGGGAATTTGATCCATTATTTCATTCTATTTCAAAATGGCGTAATTCAGTAAACGTAGTGGTTTCATTATGAATTGTGTCACCAAAACAAATAAATGATGTACGTGTTGGTCGTTTCACCTAGTTATGACACAACTAAATAAAAATCATGAATAATTACCACAATTCATCTACTATTTAACTAAATAGAAAACTATAATTGTACACTATTTTTATATATATATATATATATTTATATTTGTTAATTAAAAGAAAAGCAGTTAAAGTACTTAAAAGTATAGAGTTGATTACGTAATAAATTACATTACATTTCATTACAATTTATAAACATAACGATGAATATTCTATTGACTATTTATATCAGATGAGTAATAAAAGCATACTCTTGCAAAGTGACTTTGTATTTTACTACAAAGTTTATCGTTTACTATTAATTTTCTATTATTTAAAATATAAAAGAAATGGTGGTCTTATCGAATGTTTTGCTGTTGTCTCTTCGGAACAGCTCTGAAATGATAAGAGGAACAAAGCGAACAGACTAATCTATTAAATCTATCGGAATAAGTTGTGCATTTTATGATTAAACATGCATGTATAGTTTATTTACAAACATAAAAGACATATGAATATTTAAAGCTACAAAATATCTTTCCAATTAAAACAATAAACGATTATTAAGATTTCATTGAAAAAACTGTAAACTTTTCTCTACTCTAACAATTAAGAGAGATTGATAAATAAAGTACTAAACATAGTTCTTAAATCTTAACAATTCCAACTTTGACAAACCAACTACAAACACTTAACAACAACGTGTAAACGGTATTTAAGTAGATACTGTATACTATATTATTATACATTGATTTCTATGCATAATAAAGAAAATTAGTATTTTGTTAAATGCTGAATAGACACTTCATCAGTTAATATTGTTCTATTGGAGGATATCGACTGCCTCTTTAGTTGTCTCTTCTTACAAAACAATCTACTGAATCCTTCTCTAAATTGTTTACCTGTAGAACAGTAAAGATAAAAATTTAAAACCGAATTCATATGATAAAGTATCCAAGAGATATCGTTAAATATCTGCGCATTCCTCTCTCCCAAATATTTCTTTAGAGTTTTCCAAAAGAATGCCGTAATCATGAAAGGAGAAGTAGCCAATAAGAATATCAAAGATATAGCCAACAACATAAATGTTAAAGATTTCGCTTTGTCTTCGTCGTCTTTCTTTCTACCTGTTAGACTACTTTGAATTCCCTTCGATCTCGTAATACTTATCAAGATGGCGATATTTCCAAAAAGGATTAATATAAAAGGTAGAAAACTTCCAACAATTCCTTGTAACCATTTCCTTATTTCGAAATGAATTGGTTCTTTATCAGAACATGCTTTTCCACTCGTTCTTTGAACAATAGTAATCGACGTCAAGTAATAAGAATTGACAATGATCATTGCTAAAAGAACAACTATTATAGATATCCATTCCGAACGACTTGTAATCCAAACTTTCGATTTAAGTGGGAATAGAATCCCTAAAACTCTCCATCCAGTTAAAAGAACCAATAGCCAAGAGGAGGTTTTTAAAAGAATATACTTTAAATATACGATCGTCTTACATAAGAAATCGCTATAAATCCTTAAATCGAAATCGAATATGAAATCTACGTAAACCCTAAGAAAGGCTGCGATTAAAATAAGAGAGTCGACAATTGCCAATACAATAAGGATTCTTGTTAAAGAGACTTTTCGAAAGAAGTTTGACGAAAGAATTATGATTGAAAGAGTATTACCGACAATTCCAAGAATGAGTATTAAAGGGCATGATAGCCTATAGAAAAGATTCCTATCCCAAAAGAAATCCGGTAAAGATGATGTATCGTTTGACATGTTGTTAATCGTCAATCAATTAGCCCGGAGTGAATATCTTCTGCTGTTTTTTACCGTTAAGAAAGAAATGTCATATTCAAATTACCTTCGCCTAATACATATTAATACGTTATACATAGAATAATTAATAGGAAATCGGTTGAGTTTGTTTATATTTAGTAATTATAAATATTCATATTGTTGTTATTGGATACTTACTCTACTTTATTTATTTACGACAAATCGTGAATAATTACTACAAATTTCGCATCATAGCAGAAATATAATAAAACTAGTCTAATAGAACATAACTACAATGAAATTAGAATCAATTCATTCATTTTGGTATAGTATTCTATTTTACAGTCTTGTCTTCCATCATCTCCCCTGTTCATTGGACAGAATTGAGGCATTTTACGGTATGGTATCGGTTGAAGACTTCTTAGTTTTACTCTTTTCGATTGATTGAAGGATTTCCATTGGTGCAAGTAATTTGAAAGTAGCAATTCTAAATGATCTTCCAGATAGGCAATATAGATAGAAATTAAGAACGAAATTGGCATAGAAAACAAGCTGGAAAGAATGCCAGAGTATATTCTCCTTTTCAATACCAATAGCGGCTTTAATATTATCACTTTCTCTTAATAAAATCAGTGTTGGTGCTGTTGTGATCAGGAAAGTAAAGCTGATGAAAATAAACATTACTGTTGTCGATAGAAAGTTGTCTCCCTCCGAAGTATTGTTGGTTAGAGAAGAGCGTTGTTTCGAAAATCGATTGTATTGAATAATGATCAAAATGTTACCAACAAATATAAGAGCGAATGGTAGAAAACTTCCTATAACTTCATCAATGATCTTTTTTGAATCTAGGTATTTTTGACTCTTTGCGTAGCAGGTAACAGTACCTTGGAATGATCCTTTGGTTATTCCCACGAGGAGGAAAGCGTTAAGACAGAATGAAAATAAGAAAACTACACCCACTGCAATCCTCTCTGCCTTCTTCGTCATCCACAATTTTGCCTTTAAGGGATATAGTAAGCTTAGAGCTCTCATCCAAGTTATAAGTACAATTAACCAAGCAGATGATTGTAAGAACCAATACAGCAAGAAAACGTTTATCTTGCACATGGCTGACGAACTGGTACGAATGTCTTTCCCAGAAATTGATATTGCAAGCTGCCTTAGACCACCTATAAGCAAAGCTAAAAGGTCCGATGCCGCCAAGGAAGTCATTGCTATCGATGTTGGTACTTCTCTGAAGAAACGAGATCTCCAAACGTACATAGAAAGAGAATTTCCAACCAAACCAAAGAATATAAGGAAAGAAAATCCCATCATGTAAACTACGTTTAACTTCCATGTCAAACTTGAATAGTCAATAGCTGGACAAGAACTGGAACTGTTGTCTGACATGATTTACGTTTTACGAATGCAATGGCCGAGCAAACAGTTATATACCATCAACTCTGGAAAGATGATCCTTCCACAAAGCCTATATGTCAAATGAATAATCTGCTTACGCTCCATTGTTTAAAATACAATCATTAATACTGAATACGTGCACTTTTGAACTTCTTGTGAACTTTTTCACCATATTTACCACTAAAAACGTTGCTTGATAATAAAGTGCTGTTCAATAATTAACATTTCTCAATTATCTTTCATCATATTTTAATAAGTAACAACAACAAAAAATAGAATTAATAGCGTACGTGCATGTTATATCGTACAGTATGATTTATATGTAAGACCTGCTAAATATGGAAATAATCAATAATTTGCATATTTAGACATTTAGATACTATAAAGTCTTTATTTTTTTATTAATATTTATATTTTATTAATTGATATTCAAACTAAATTGTTTTCTAGTATTCTATAGAAGTCAGCTCTTCCTTTGGCATCTCTCAATGCAATATAATTGGGTAAATTAGACATAACCTCTCATATTTAAATTAAATCTTTTTCCTTAGAATGTTCTCGCTAAAGTTACAAATTGTTGCGCAATCGCTTTTCTAAATCTTTTGGGCAGCAAATTTTGGAAATTTTGGCCAAGTTTGTAAACTTTTCAGCTTTTCAACAGTCAATTACCAAACTCTTTTCAACAGTAGGTATTTTATCAACCATTTTTGTGAAAACTCCTTAGTATAGTTGAAAGCGATAGCAGTATATGAATATGTAAATTAGCTTTTTTCGGAAAAAAGATGAGCGACCAAAATCTAAACATCTAAAATAGCAATTTTAAGGTGACCTACTATAAGAGGTCTATAGTGTATACCATTAGTATTTACTCGTATCCATATATTTATATAGAGTATATCCTGTATATATACTAATATAAATTTATATACATATATATGTTACTTATCTTTTTTCTAGGGTAATGTATTCATAATTCTCAATGAATGTAAACTTGATTATCTCCATCGTAAACATAACCAAGACAAATGAAAAGAGAAAGAAATAATTTCTAATCTTCTTAACTTTTTTCATCTTATACCGACATAAGAAAAAATGGAATAATTGCAAAATTATTATCTTTCTAAATATAGAAATAAATAGAAAAATATAGAAATATTAATGAGAATATCTGTGCCTTATTAATATAAATACTAAATATTTGAAGAGTATAAATAGAAAAGAAAGAAGCAAATAGAATATATTATTTTTAAATTAATAAACAATAGTAGGAGTTTCAAAGTATTGATTTCGCAAAATAAGCAATATTTTAATACTTTTGAATGAAATATTAATATTGCATATGCAAAATATAATACTCTATAACCCGCCAATCGTTTTATTCTCTATATTATATTATCATTTCATTGACGTATAGTGAAAGTGATCAAATAGCCAAAATTAACAATGTAACAATAGATTAGGGATAAAATTGTTTTACATGGAAAAACCTGGTTGAAAAACCTGGTTCAAGAGATAAGCGAAAATTGATGATTAAAGTATCATTAAAAAATGCTGACGTTACAGTTCAATAAACTTGTTTCTATTGTTCCTCTTTTCATTTAGATTGTGTTAATTTAGTAAACAGCCAGAGGGAGAGAGGGAGGGAGGGAGAGTGAACAGAGTCGAAAAGAAAATATGAGAATGTTATTTAACGAATTAACGAATGATCCAGTGCTCTAATAAATGAATGTATTAATGACTATGGAAAAGGAGAAGAGGATCAAGTGCAATTGGAATTTTATTGCAAGAGTAGATAACATTACAACAATATTATAAAGACAGATTGTGCGATAGTTTAGTCAATCATTTTAAGTAAGTGCAATCACACTTTCGTCTATATCATTTCAAATTTCCTTTTTCTTTGGTTCATTCCCTTGTTCATCAATTTTCTGCAAGAGCCAGTAAGTTGTCATCTCTCCTTTGCCCTATTTTATCATTTATCAACAGAGGCCATTATTTTATACGCTTTCTTCAAATTTAATAACTTATATACAACTCTTTTCGTCTATTTAATACCTTTATGGGAATACTTCCTCGTTCTTCTATCTTGTACCCTCCTCCCGCTACCTTTTCTAGAGCGTCTTTTGTAAAAGGACTCAGGTGAACTTTTGATGGTTTTCCGTTACTTTCCATAATATTTGCAGTAATAACTGTATCTCCGAATAAACAATATCTACGAACGAAAAGGTCGTCAAATATTTCAAGGTTGACAGTTTTTTCCAGACTTACCTGGGCATTGTTTGGCCAACAACTCCAGCTGCGCAAGGGCCGGTATGAATACCTATTCTTAAATGTATTGTCAAATCTGGTTTGTGCCTGACTTGAAAACTTCCGACGCTTTTCGACAAGTGTAGGGCAACGTCGGCTATTTCTATCACGTGTTTCATTCCATTTCGACGCGGGGCGCCCGACACTACCTGCAATGATTTTGTTTGTTATGGTGTCATAATGGAAAGCCTACTTAGATTATATAAAGAAAAAAACATACAACATACGCATCTCCAATCGTTTCAACTTTATAAACGTCATACAAACTTAAAATGTCATCAAACAGGGTATATAAATCGTTAAGGAGATCAACAACTTGCATTGGAGAACTTTGCGAGCTAAGAGAAGTAAATCCAACAACATCGGAAAAGAATATCGTAACTAAATCGAATATTTCTGCTTCAACTGCACAGCCACTTTTAAGTTTTTCAGCAACCATTCTATATAATATACAATTGTCTATAGTCTATTTAATTACTAAATTACTGCTAAGCCATCTTACGGAGGTAACATTCTGTATAGGAGAGAATCGGTTTTCTTCTTTTCTTCTATAAGCATTTTAGTTCTATTCTCGACGATTTCCTCCAAATTATTAGCATACTTTTCCAGTTTAGTTATCATTGTATCCATAATATTCGAATCCCTTTTTTATTGAATAGTTAACAATGCAATATGCTTTGCCATACATATTTATACAGTGCATATAGACAATATATATATAAGTATACATTGTGTATATTGTATATTTGCCATTTTAGTGGTTATTTAATTAACGAGCTACTTACTTTCCAATATTTATTTTGCGTACAGATTTTGTAATTTTCTCAAAATTAGGCCTATCGTGGGGATTTTCATTCCAACACTCTTTCATTAATTCTATGTATTTATCATCATCTTCGTCCAACTTTAAATCTTCTGGCTTTGTAGGTCTAAGCGGCGGTTTTTCACCATTTTTTACTCTTGTTATCAATTCTATATTGACATTGAGAGAAATTCAAAAGTAGATAATATAATAATAATACTATTATCTCTAGATTAAATTAATTACCTTTAGGCGAGAGAAATGTATTGAAATATGGAAGTCCCCTAAATAGAATTTCGCTAAGAACCATAGCGAAACTATAGACGTCTCCTTCTTGATTACCTATAGGTAACGTTCCATCTTGAATAGTTAAGGGTTGAGAACGAAGAATTTCGGGGGCACACCAAAGCAGTTTTTTATAAATTTGATATTCCGCGACTCCCTCTTTTTTTAAATTTGATTGAAATTGTAAATTCCTTAGTTGATACATTCCGTAAGAGCCAATCCTTAACACCCATCTACTATCTATAAGACAACAGCCGCTTGTCAAACTTCCGTGATATTTTAAAATTGACGAATGAAGAAAATTCATTCCTGCAACAATGGTGAAAAGATTCAATACAATATATTTTTAATAGTCTCTCTTGAAAAACCTGATATTAAATCTTTTATTAAGGATCTCTTGAATGAACTATCCAATGTTAGATCATCATTTTCCAATATATCTTGTAGACTACCTCTTGAACAGTACATCCATAGAATGTGTGCTTTTGGAGGTTCAAGACTTAGACCAATAAAGGGATTAACATTTTCGTGATTCATCTCTTTCATCTATGTAAAAATTATATAAATATTAAAGGGTTTAGGTGAAATACAATTGACTGTAATTTACTAATCAACTACCTCTTTAAGTTCTCTTAATCTTTCTCTTGTTAAGTTAATGGTAGCATTCTCCAGAGGAAATATTCTTACCGAGACCGTTGTACCTTTATATAACGCTAATCTGGAATAAATTTGCCCAACTGATTTTACAGATGCATTAGACGGTTGAGAAGAATTTGAATGGATACTTTTAGCACTTAAATTCACCTTTCATTGAATATACGAAGGAAAACAATGAATATTATTTTTTAAAAAAATGTTTCTTTTTACCGCGCTAAATGCCCCTTTATTAATTAATTCGACGTCTTCGACGTTAATTTTCCAAATCATTTGATATATATCCGCTTCTAACTTTTTTCTCCTGTTAAAACAAAAGTTTTTATTTGTTTTTTTAAAAAAACAAAACTATAGATTAATAAATGTTTACCTGAAATAGATGGATATCGCTATCGATACGAGTATTAAAACTAAACATGCTACCCCAATGCTTATATATAGTGCATTGTTATCTGTTGAAAGATTATAATGTTATTTCAGACAGAAAGTGTTAAAAGTTAACCTGTGGGAGGAGAAGGGCAAAATTCATTGGAAAAACCACATTTAGGAACGTCGGGTGGAGGAAGGCCAGTTTCTGTCTGCCAATTGGTTTCTGAATACACTGTAATTTCACTTCCATTGCCTGATCTACCAGTTAAAATTACTTCCAACCAGGGAGTGTACTCATTCTTATCTCCGTCGAAATGCCAAACCCAATAGTCTGGTAACCTATCAGCTTTTGAATCTACTTCAATCCTACCAAATTTTGAACGTATATATCTACTTTTTGACTTTTCCATCATCCAATCAATATCTCTAACTGATTTATTAGCCTGAATGGTTTCATTCATCACATTACACAGAAAATACGTCGTTTCATAAACAAATATAGCTTCGACACCAGCTGTCCAGTTATTGTTTAAATAAATGGGACTGAAGAATGGGGCTTTTGCAGTTTCAATGGGAACATCGTCCCTAAGGAATGTTTGAATACGAGATCCAGCCAATGAGCTTAGAGTTATATGTATAAGAGGCGCAAAATATTTTTTGTTTTCAATGGAATCTCCCCAAGGTTTTGTGGTGAAGCTAGTCGGGACGCCGGAATAGTAAATGAAGGCGTAATCTTTTGCAGTCATTTTTAACTTTGCGGCAGTATACATCATAATTCCGATTTGTTCGGTTGAAAAGCAACAAATGACAACTAAAAGAGAGGATAGATAATGATAAAGAAAAGAGCTGAAGAAATTGTTTATTACTAACTTCTAGCTCCAACCGCAATTCTCTTTAGATATACTTCCATCTCCTTTTCTTTTTCGTAACTATTAACAATAATCTTATCAGTAACTTTTAAATCCGATCTTTCGTTAACCATTCGCTCAATGGATTGCGAAACCGAATTGCAGAATGACGTATGCGATATCATTAACGCAACCCTTTTCCATTTCAGATAATCTAATAAATGGATTATTGTTGGACTCATTGTATCTAAACTCGGCAAACCGGGTCTAACAAGGTTTTTATAGATGGATTTTGTATTCAAAGTTGAATCATCCGATCCGCTACTGTAGAGCATAATGTTTCTATAAGCTGCGTAAATTGCGGACACTTGTGTTACTTGAAAGAAAAAGTAAACAAAGGATATTATTATAAATTTAATTAATTTATTAATTATTAATAATCATACCAGTTGAACAGAAAAATCCAAGAAGAATGTCTATATTGTCTTTATCAATCATTTGGAATACTGCTCTTGATCCTAATTGGCGAGCGCACATATCATTTGTCCACACAAGGCTAAATTAGTGATAAAGGAGATTTATTACGAATAGTAACTATTCAATATTCAATTATTTAATCCCTTGTTCCACTCCTCTAATACATATAGCTTCTTCATTATTTCAGACTAAGGAAATTGAAGAGTTATGTAAGAAGCTCATAAGGAAAATACTTAGTGAAACATGTTGGACAGCCGCAGAGAATTTATCTTGACTAAAGACGATAATGGTCGCATATCTGTCTTAAAGTCTGAAAGGTAATAGAGCAAAAGCATCGACAGTAAATGATTATAGAGAAGGTATTATACCTTCTGCAAAGTCAATGAAGGTTATTTTATGCTTAAATCTTAACAAAAGAATGTTGATTTAGTAAGAAAAAATTAATTAAGATAGCATTTATGTAATAAGATAGTGTGAGATTAACGTCTAAACATCCTAAGTATACAATGTTTCCTGCGTAATATACAAAAAGTGGAGTCGTTGATTTAAAATTTCTTATACAAAATACTATTGGCAATAAATAAAATGAATTGAATTACCTTATATCCGAGTCATTACCAATTAAACCTTCTTCTCTACAATCTTTTATTGCGACATTTATTGCACCGCCAACTGATTGAGCCGACAATGGATTGACGCCACTTGGATTGTCGAGTAGGCTAATACCTATTCTGAAGTTTTTTATAGAGAAACAATAGGGAAGAAGACAGAGGCTGAAGAATATTTTACTCATATTCTATCAATTCTTAAAAAAAGAAATGGAACTTTTCCATCTATCAATATTTTTAAAGCGACATCTATGCGGAATTAATTGGGTAACTTTGAGTGGAAGGAGAGTTAAGGAAGAAAAAGAAAGGGGAAGAAGCACGATATTAGAGATATGAAAAGGCTATTCTGATAAAGTTAATCAAGAGAAAGGTTAAAATTTCATTTTAAGACAGATATACAATTAACTAATCTGGTGAAAGGCTAATAGAAAGTTGTAAAGCAAATAATTTGGTAAACAGTAGTTGTCAAGTAGGCCAGAAAGATATATATAGTCAGTTAGCTAATTAAGCGTCTCTATTCCAAAAGCTATAACATTCTACAAAGTTACATTACTTTTGATTCACCAAAGAATTATCGAAGAGAGACGAAATCTATATTAAGATGTTCAAATAATAGAGACGGGAAAAAGTTCTAAAACTCTATTTTATTCTTTTATCCTTTTGAGATGAAAGAAAAAAAGATTGAAAGGAAGAGAAGAGTTAAGAAAATATTCATTTTTAACCCTTTCTTAACGAGTATAAATTTTCTATTGCTTTTCATTTGTGAATATTGTAAATAATAAAAAAAGTAAAAAATGCTTTTGGCTTGATACACTTGAAAAAAAAAGTCCTTTGTTCCTTTACATTTAATTGGTAGTACCGAATTTTTCCTTTTGTTGAATATGTATTATATAAGTTGGTTAATTGCTTGACTGCTAACACCATCTTTTATTAATAAGAATGAATAACAGGTACAAAAAAAACGAAGTAAATTTACAATTTTGAATATTAATGTATGAAGTCGTCTTGTTCTCCTTCTTTTAAGGCTAATCCTTGTCTTTTTTTATCAAACAATTTGGCCAGATTGTAGGCAATTGTTGTCTAGGTGTTTCATATCTGTTCTGCTTGTGTATTAATTATGAGTAGACCGCATTCCTTAAGTATTCGTTCAATATATTGTATAACAATAGAGAGACGAGTCTCATTAAAAGACAATACGTAACTTAACCAAAATAATTAAGGTAATCCAGAACAGATATGAAACATCTGCAAAAATATATGAATATAGTTATATATACAGTAAATACATTTGTATCTCTTTTACAAGAAATATAGCAAAAACAGTAGATCAGAACAAAAGTTACAGCTATTTAAAAACATTATCTTAACAGATACAAGAGATGATCAAAGAAATTTTTCTCATCTTTCAGTTCTAACCAATCAACCAATAAGTCTCCATTTCACCTTTACCCTGTTATTAGATACAAACAATTATTCTGGTTATTACGAAAATTACCAAGATCAAATCACATTACTTTCACTAGAATAGATCCTCTTTTTTCAATAGTATAATCGTCTTTTGCAACCTTCTTTAAACAGTCTACGAAGTAAGAGCTAACGTGAATTTTGAATGGTTCGCCTGTACTTTCCATCCTACTTGCCGTATTAACTGTGTCGCCGAATAGGCAATACCTATTCAGGTTATTTTAAGCAATTGTTGTTTAAGCAATTATTATATATATATAGAGTATATTTAAATAATGATAATGATAGTAATAAGGAAACCTTGGCATACTGAGACCAACAACACCTGCTGCGCATGGACCAGAATGTATACCAATTCGTAAGTTCAATTGTCTTTCTGGGGCGTGTCTAATTTGAAAACCAAGGACGCTTTTCAGCAAATGTAACGCCACTTTTGCTATTTCTCTTCCGTGGTTCATACCATTTTTTCTAGGTACACCAGAAACCACCTTTTTAAACGAAAACAAAAAAACACGTGTGCTTTTAGCTGGATAAAAAAGATAGACAAATAACAAATAAATACCATATAAGCGTCCCCTATAGTTTCAACTTTGTAAACATCGTACAAACTCAAGATATTGTCAAACAAACTATACAAATCGTTCAGAAGATTAACAATTTGTATAGGTGTACTTTCAGAGCTTAATTTTGTAAAGCCAACAACATCTGAAAAGAAGATTGTTGAAGATTCAAACATTTCAGCTTCTATTATTTCACCAGATTTTAGTTTTTCGGCTATTGTTCTATTTTCAACAATTTTAAGAATTCACCAATTTACATCTACAATTTCAAATCTTTAATTGTGTCACTTACAATGGTAGCATTCTATACAAAAGACTGTCAGTCTTTTTCTTTTCTTCTATCAGTTCGCAAGTTCTATGTTCGACAATTTCTTCCAGATTATTAGCATATCTTTCCAGTCTTTCTATCATAATATCCATAATATTTCTACTGTATTTTGTAAATGGTAATTAAAAATTAGCAGCTTGTAATAACCTTCATTGTTTTTTAATTGTTTATTTGCTTACTTTTCTCTAGAAAATTTTTTGATTTTTCTCAAAATAAGCTTAAAATCTGGTCGTTCTTCAGTATTCTCCGCCCAACAATCAACCATTAAACTCTCCATTAGTCTCTCTTCGTCTTTCTTTACAGAATTATCATTTGCTGTTGGTCTAAATGGTTCACCACTTACTCCTATTATTCTTTCAACGATTTCTGTGTGATATTTAACTTCTTAGTTCTTCCAATAATAGTCATTCTCTTTATCTCTCTCTCTCTCTCTCTCTCTCTTTCTCTCTCTTTTTATTATAGTTTACTTACCTTTCGGAGTTAATTCGCAATTGAAAAATGGCATTCCTCTATGAATAATTTCCCAAAGTATAATTCCAAAACTATAAACATCTCCCCCCTGACTTCCCATAGGTAGAGTAAGTTCAGTGTAATTTGTCAAATGTTCCCTTAGTAATTCTGGCGCGTGCCATAAAAGTTTCCTATAAGCTTCGTATTCTCCCGTTGTACTATCCCGAATGTTTGATTGAAATCGAATATTCTTTAAATCGTATAGGCCAAATGAACTGATTTTCAATGTCCATCGACTATCAATTAAACAACATCCACTCGACAGATTCCCATGAAATTTCAAAGAAGATGAATGAATATAATTCATTCCTGTAAATATTCACAATCGTAAATATTGAAAAGACAATTGCAGATATTGCAGATAGTTTATATATATATATTGAAATTGAACATTATAGTTTATTAGTATGCTGTAGCGGGGAATGGAAAGACATACCTGACGCCAGATCAGAAATTAAAGACTTTTTGAAAAGATTATCGAGAGCAATATCATCGTTTTCGAGAATATCTTGAAGACTTCCCTTAGAACAATAAGTCCACAATATATGCATCTTATTACTTTCAAGACATATACCAACAAACGAATTGAGATTAACGTGTCGAATTTCAACCATCTTGATTTTATTGAAAAGATAAAGATAGGCATAAAAGTGAGCAAGAAGAAAAGGAGAGAGAAAAACCTCTTTTAATTCAATCAACTTTTGTCGATTAAAAGGAAACGCAGTATTATGATTAGTATTAATTTCTTTAACTGCGACTGTTGATCCTTTATAAGTCGCAATTCTTGTGTAGACCTGTTTCTCCAAATTCATTATCTTTGAACGTTGCGAGTAGTCAGAGCGTAGACTTTTAGCGCTGAGGCTCAACTATAAATATAGCGTTTGTTAGAATAAAGTGTTTGCTATCAATTTAAAGATGGAAGTATTTTATATAAAGATGTTAAAACAGTGTAAACGCAGAAAAGTAACTTTCGTATAAAGAATAATTGTTAAATTTCGTCCAAAATCTGAAAGTTAAGTTTATTCTGCGTATACTACTGTACTCTTAAGTTTGTTTATACAGAGCTTATAGCTCCTCTTTGAAGATTTCGTATATCTTTGATATCAATTTTCCATCTCATTTGCTGCAGTTCAATTTCTTTCCTCTTCCTTCTGTTTTATTATTTATTATTGTTATTTTTCGTTTTGTTTTTCTTTCTTCTCCTTTATTTCGAAAGAGAAATAGAAGAGTAGAAAGAATAATTTAACTTCCCTACCTAAAGATAAACAAGGCTACAACAAAGGAAATAACCAGGAATATGATAACTGAAGATGCAGCAATATATATAGGCCTATTATCTGCAAGAATGTGAAAGAATTCATTAAATAGTAAAGAAATCTATAAATCATAATTGTGTCATCTTTATTGAACCTTTAGGCGTTGGCGGGCATAATTCGTGTTTAAAGCCGCAAAGAGGAATATCAGGGGGAGGTAGCTGGTTCTTTGTTGACCACTTGTGGTTATAAATAGTATTTATTTCGGACCTGTTTGAGTGAATTTCCGTATTAAAGGTAATATTCAGCCATTGACGATACGATCCCGTAGTTGTATCGTATCTCCAAAGCAAATAATTGGGCAATCTATCGCCATTAGAGTCGATAGTACCATCTCCAAATTTTGTTTTGAACTTTCTATTTTTGGTAATACTCATCATCCAATCAATATCTTTAACGCTTTTCCCTTGAGAAACAGTTTCGTTTATGATATTACAGAGTAAATAGGTGACTTCGTAGGCAAACACCGAATAACCAGTTACTGTCCAATTTTTCTCCAAATATTCCCTCTTATAGAATGGATACTTGGATGACTCGAGCGGAATTCTGCTTAGAAACTTATCAACTGTCGGTCCGGCTAGAGAACTAAGAGTTAATTGTATTAATGATTCAAAGCCGTCTTTAATCTTTTTTTCTTCATTATTCTTAATAATATTGCCCCAAGGTCTGACCGTAAACTCATCTGGAACTAGAGTAAAATAGAGAAAAATGTACTGATTAGCCGACATTCCGAGCTTATTAGCGATCTGGATCATTTCCCTTATCTGAATTTGTCTCAAACAGACAACGACAACTGATAAAGGAGAATAAGTTTTAGGTTTCTAAAGTTTGATTGAAAAGAAGGAGCTTACTTCTGGAAGTCATGGAAATTTTACGTAGCGCTGATTCTAAGGCATCTTTTGAATCGTTCAGTTTCATTAAAAAAGTCTCTGCCAAGCGGAAATCTTTACGATTTCTGATGATATTCTCTACAGATTTTATACCCAAACCACAATAATTTTCCGATACACTCATAATTGATACTGTCTTCCAATTGAAGTGTTCTAATACCTTAACAACACTGAAGCCAATTGTATCGATATTCGGAGCTCCGGCTCTAACAAGATTAGCGTAGATAGTTTTGTTTTGTAAATCTCGATCAGCAGAAGACATACTATAAACCATGATATTTTTATATAGAGCATAAGGTGCTGTGAGTTTGGTAACTAGAGAAAAAGATAAGGTAATTAGTGTTTCATAGGAAGAAATCTACGTCATTTTCTATTTAAAACAAATTGCTAACCCCAAGAACAAACAGTTCCTAATAGTATATCAACTTTCTCTTGCTCTATAAGATCAAAGTGTACCTTCGGTCCATTTCTCGAATCGCAAAAGTCATTTACCCAAACCAGACTAACAGAAATTACAAATAAATTCTCTTCTATTCTCCTTAGTAATAAATCAATGTTTCTACTATAAATCAGAAATAGTTTACCTTAATTTGTAGGTTCGATTCACTAGGTCATTTCGTCTACAATCTTCCAATGCAATATTGATAGCTCCTCCAAAAGTTTGCACGGTAAGTGGAGACTGACTAAAAGAATCATCCAACAAAGCCGCTCCCACCTTTATTTCCACTGAACAGATACAACCCCTGAAAAGAAAGATTGCAGAGAAGAAGAGAAACATGCTCGTATTGTTTATCAGTCGAAATAAACTCGAAAATGGCCGTTCCATTACGAACACCGTCTGACGTTGTTTGTTATGGACATATGTGAATATTTAATGATTGACAAGTAATTTTTCTTTGTCAGGTAACATCATATTTTTCCGGTTCTATTATATACTCCTTTTATTTTCTCACCGGGAATAATTCTACGCGTCACAAGACCAAAAGTTCTCGTAATTTTATTAAAACTTTACAGAAGTATAGTGTTATTCTTAAGGAAACCTTTTATTTCATTAGCTAATGCATAGATATCTATGGGATTTATATAATAAAATACTATACACCTTTAAAGACTTTAAAAGGTTATCATTAATTCTACAGCATTACTCATCATTTTATTAATTTATAATTTTATTTACTAAATGAACATTTAATTAGTTTATTAAAGTAAAAGGTGACGAATTGTTATTGTCTTCTTTTTCTTCTTCCTTGTCTCTTTATTTTTCTCTCTTCTCAATTAGCCAGAAAGTTTGCATATCACCTTTACCCTGCATTTATTAATAATAATAGTGTTATTTTTTGTTTATAATTTTCTATACTGCTATGTTTTAATTTACCTTTACAAATACGGTTCCTCGACTTTCCATTTCATATGAATTTGGAGCCGCCAGTTCCAAATGCTCTTTGAAATACGTACTTACATGGATTTTAAATGCTTCACCTGTAGTCTCCATTCTACTTGCAGTATTTACAGTATCTCCAAAAAGACAATACCTGTATATTTCATTATTTCGGTTGTATATACAGTATGTATACTATGTTCGTTATTATTGTTATTATTGTCTTTAGTATCAATATTGTTATTGTTTCTTTTACCTGGGCATTATGAGTCCAACAACTCCAGCTGCACAAGAACCCGTATGAACTCCGATACGAAGTTGGAGCTTAAGATCTTGTCTATGCTTTATCTTAAAAGTATAAACACTGCCAAGCAATGCCAATGCCATATTTGCAATTTCGATAGAGTGTTTGTTTCCGTTTTTTCTTGGAATGCCAGACACAACCTGTTGTATATTGATATATGGTTATACTACATGTATACCGTTATATACTGTTACCATATAAGCGTCTCCAATCGTTTCCACTTTATATACATCGTATTGATTCAATATCCCATCAAAAAGGCTGTAGAGATCGTTAAGCAAAGTAACAATTTCCATTGGCGTACTTTCGGAGCTAAGAGAGGTAAACCCGACAACATCAGAGAAGAATACAGTTGCCGATTGGAATATTTCCGCTTCTATTGCTTCGCCCATCTTTAATTTTTCTGCTACAGTCCTATAATGATTTATCATTTAGCATTTTTTCTTGAGAACACAACAATCATTTCAAAGTATCTAATTAAAGCACATCTTGTCTATAGATTGAAATAAAATAATATTTACGATGGTAGCATCCTATAGAGCAGCGAGTCAGTTTTCTTCTTCTCTTCAACCAATTCTTTTGTTCTTGACGTAACTATCTCCTCAAGATTATTAGCATACTTCTCAAGCCTTTGTAGCATAACATCCATAATGTTGCTACCTCTGCAAACAATTAGCACAGTTATTAATAAAATGATACGGTAACTTTGCAAAAGCATCTATATATATATATATATATATATATATATATCACTTCCAAATTTATTTGAAGGTACTAACTTTCCACCAAGTATTGATTTTACTCTTTTCGCAATTTTACCGCAATGTGGTCTTGAATGCGCATTTTCATTCCAACAATCAATCATTAAACTTGAAAATTTAACTTCATCATCTTGTAATTCTATTCCTTTTGGAGATACAGGCCGAAAAGGTTCGCCATTTTCTGCTTTAATTTTCTCAACAATTTCTGTGTTAATCATCTCAATTACACACAAATATTATTTATGTTCATTAATAGTCATTCTCTTTATCTCTCTCTCTCTCTCTCTCTCTCTTTCTCTCTCTTTTTATTATAGTTTACTTACCTTTCGGAGTTAATTCGCAATTGAAAAATGGCATTCCTCTATGAATAATTTCCCAAAGTATAATTCCAAAACTATAAACATCTCCCCCCTGACTTCCCATAGGTAGAGTAAGTTCAGTGTAATTTGTCAAATGTTCCCTTAGTAATTCTGGCGCGTGCCATAAAAGTTTCCTATAAGCTTCGTATTCTCCCGTTGTACTATCCCGAATGTTTGATTGAAATCGAATATTCTTTAAATCGTATAGGCCAAATGAACTGATTTTCAATGTCCATCGACTATCAATTAAACAACATCCACTCGACAGATTCCCATGAAATTTCAAAGAAGATGAATGAATATAATTCATTCCTGTAAATATTCACAATCGTAAATATTGAAAAGACAATTGCAGATATTGCAGATAGTTTATATATATATATTGAAATTGAACATTATAGTTTATTAGTATGCTGTAGCGGGGAATGGAAAGACATACCTGACGCCAGATCAGAAATTAAAGACTTTTTGAAAAGATTATCGAGAGCAATATCATCGTTTTCGAGAATATCTTGAAGACTTCCCTTAGAACAATAAGTCCACAATATATGGGCCTTATTGTTCTCAAAGGATAACCCAACAAATGAGTTGATATTGCCATGATTCATTTCTTTCATCTAGAAAAGATTTTAATGAAGAGTTAAATAGATAAGAAACGAAGACTTAAGAATAAGTTTGTTACTTGTTTCAATTCCATCAATTTGAAACGATTCAAGTTTAAGGAACTTTTGGGAAAATCAATGGTCTTGACAGATACCGTAAGATTTTTATACACTCCAACTTTAGTATAGACTTGTTTCGTCATTGTGATTTTTGAAACGTCTGACACTTCCGATTTGAAGCTTTTCATACTCAGATTTAACTATAATAGTAGTTTAATAAAACAAAGAAATTTGTACATTGTGTTTTTAATCTTTGCAAAAGCCAATAAGGAGTTATGCTATACTCACATTAAGAGTGCGTTATCTATATATAGATATATAAAAGAATGCTATTTAAAATATTACTTACGAGACTAAAGGCTCCGTGGTTAGACATTTGAACGTCTTTTATGTCAATTTTCCATAGCATCTGCTGAAGTTCTGCCTCTAGTTTCTTCTTTCTATAGCATGTAATAAATTACTTTATGACTTTGGCAATGTCAAAAACAAGATCTGTTATTAAGAACTAGGACTTACTTATATATAAGAACCGATATGATAACTATTACCAATATAATTATTAAGGAAGCAACGACTGCAACGAAAACTGCTATGTTATCTAAAAGATAAAAAGCAATAGAAGATGTAAATGAAATGATAAAGTTATGCTGCGTTTGGTAACTTTACTGGTTGATTCTGGTGGACAAAATTCATTCCGAAAACCGCATTTGGGAGCATCAAGAGGGGGAATATTATCTTTTGTAGGCCAAAGTATTTTCTGTTGTTCTACAATTCGAACTGATTTTCCATTGCTAGTTGTTAGTATAATGTCCATTATTGGCTTATACTCATCATCACCACTTACATAGTACCAAAATGTGTAATCGGGTATACGATCGCCTTGAGAATCCATTGCCAAGCTTCCGAATCTTGTAGAAAATACTTTGTTGCTTGACACTTTCATCATCCAGTCGATATCTCGATAACTCTCTCCCAATGCGATAGTTTCGTTAAGCACGTGGCAAAGAGTATAAGCAACGTCATAGCCGAAAATACTATTTTTAATCGCTCTCCAACTATTATTTAAGTACAACGTTTCATAAAATGGTGATTGAGCCGACAATTTGGGAACCTCTGTTCTGAAATGATCAACTTCTGGTCCAGATAAATCGCGAGTGGTAATTTGAACAAAAGAAACAAAATTATCTTTTAATTCCTTTTGATTATCTCTTCCTGTGATATTTCCCCAAGGAGTTGTCGTAAAACTACTCGACGTACGATCATAGTAGAGAAATACATATTTATCCGCTGTCATACCTAAGATCCTAGCTTTTTCCATCGAAGTTCTCATTTGTCCTTGAGATAGACAAATAATGATAACTTTGAAAAAAAAGATAATTATAGCTTTTCAGAATAGCAAACATTAAAATTTTTAGCTTTACTTCTAGCTCTTTGTTTTATCCTTCTCAAAAACGTTTCAATATCATCTGCAGTATCACTTGATAGTACAGATATTTTCTCGACGAGAATCAAGTCTCTTCTCTCCCGTAGAATACTTTCCAAGGATTTTACGCCATAACCGCATAGTGCGCTATCTCTGACTAATAGAGATACCTTCGACCATTTAAAATGATCCAAAACTCCAATAATAGCTTTACCGAATGTATTAAAAGTTGGTAAACCTGCCCTTATTAGGTTTGTGTAAATACTCTTATCGTCCAGTAGGGGGTCGGCGGAAGAGACGGTGAAAATTGTTACATTTCTATAGCCGGCATAAATTGATGAAATACCAGTAACTAGGTAGATGAGGGGAGAAAGAAATTATTATAATTATTATACGCAAAGATTGATAGAGCAAATTAATGGAACAGGTGGATAGATAGACAAATGTAACCATATAGAGAGATCTATTAGAAAATAGTAAAAAGTAAAGCTTGGATAAGACCTGTTGAACAAACAGTTCCAAAAATAATGTCTACGTCTGCGTCTTCAATCATTTTGAATTGGTTAATTGATCCTGAGAGAGGGCTGCATGTATCTCTAGAATAGTAGAGACTAATCCAAATTGAAAAGAAAGAAAGTTGAAAATAAAGTAGAGAAAAAGCATTTCAAGGTAAGATAAAAAGTGAAAAAGTTACCTTATGTTGTAAGTTTTTCCGAGAAGATTGTTTTGTCTGCAGTCATTAAAAGCCAACTTGATTGCACCCGCTAAGGCTTCAATGGAATACGACCAAAGTGATCGGGAACGTGTTAAAGCAACTCCAATTTTTACATCTTTTTCCAAAGAAAAACTTTGAAATAAATAGAAGAAGACGAAAAGAATTAATCTTGCCATTTTCCTCCATAGAATGCCAGTCATCAAGTGAATTGACGCCCTCTGTCGTATAGTTATTAGAAAATAGTTCAATAGTCTAAATAGGTAAAAGTCCTCAGAAAAAATTTTTATTGAAGATCAAACGATTAGACTGTAGGAAGAAAGCAACGATTTGCTGCAAGGTGTAAATAAACCGATTTTCTAACGAAATAAACTCGATAGTATGCTATATAAGATATATTTATTAGGTCTTACATTTATATATTATACTTCTATTACAAAACTGTTATCAAGCCAAGAATAGGAAACGAATCTATTTTAACGAAGATACATTTAGGGAAAGAAGAAGAGACGTGAATAATTGAATACGAAAATTAATAGTTAGAATTAATGGTTCTCAGTAGTTAAACGATAGGATAAATACTTGACTGTAGGGATACGTGCAACGAAGGTGAGTTTTTTTCATTTTGTATAGACTTTATAAGCATAACAATGGTTTTGTGAGGCGTTTCGTCAAATCTATACATTCTGTCACGCAATATATACTTTCAAATTGATGAAAAGGCTATATTTATATATTAGTATATTCAAATACATATTATATATATTATGCATATTTTCACTACTTTAAAACGAAATCAAACGACACCGATACTCTCGAAAATTTCTCCTCTCGCCTCTCAATCTCTCTTCCTAGGCAAAATATCTCGACTTTTCTAATCTTTTCTTTTAGTCATGAAATATAATTACATAACAACATGTAAACGCTATCCTTTTGTTAGACCTTCTCTCGCTCAATTACCAGCTCTAGGTAGTCTTGTTAATCAGCCAATATGTCGTGATTTCTCCTTTTCCCTGTTTAAGCAATGCATGTGTTTTAATTTGAATCTATAATAAAAAAAAACAGCTTTTTATTATAACCTTGACATTGATATTCCCACGAAGCTTAATTTCATAGTTTCCTTGAGCTACGGTTTCAAGGGTCTGTTTACAATAACTCGACATGTGTATCTTCAATGGTTCGCCAGTACTTTCCATTCTGCTCGCCGTGTTCACTGTATCACCAAACAAACAATATCTTGGCATTTTTAAGCCCACAACCCCAGCCGCACAAGGTCCAGTGTGAATACCAATTCTAAGATTTAACTTTAAACCTGGTTTATGGCGAACTTCAAACGTAAGAACGCTTTCCAATAAATGAAGAGCGACATTAGAGATTTCTACAACATGCTGCAAGTCATTCCGTGAAGGAATTCCAGAAACAACCTAAAGGTAAAACCATCGAAGATAATTTATTATAATCATATAATAATGGCATATAGCTATAATATTTATACCATATATGCATCGCCGATAGTTTCAACTTTATAGACATCGTACAAATTCAATATACCATCAAAAAGCGTATATAAATCATTCAATAGATTCACAATCTCAATTGGCGAACTTTCCGAGCTGAGTGCAGTAAATCCAACAACATCCGAAAAGAATATTGTGGCCGAATCGTACATTTCAGCTTCTATGATTTGTCCTCTTTTCAGCCGATCAGCAATAGTACTGAATATAACACAAACAAATAGTATAACATGCATAGTATTATCTTAAGTATACGAATAAACTGCAAAATAAAAAATAGAACATAATGAGCAATAATTCCACTCTCTCTCTCTCTCTCTCCTAATACGGATTGTAATGGTAAAATAGTCTGGATGAAAACTCTACACTTACGGTGGTAGCATGCGATATAGTAAACTGTCGGTTTTCTTCTTCTCTTCTACTAATTCGTTTGTTCGTGTTTCGACGATTTCCTCCAAATTGTTCGCGTACTTTTCTAACTTTTTTATCATTATGTCCATCAAATTTTGAGTTCTAGAGTAGATTGTTGAAAAATTACAATTATTAGTTATATTAGACAACAGATGGCGTTCTGGTGCGGAGAGTTCAAGTATACTCTTACTTTCCTGAGGAAAATCCCCTTATATTCTTTGAAATTTTAGAAAAACTAGGTCGATCTTCCGGATTTTCGTTCCAGCACTCTTTCATGAGTTCTTCTATTTTGTGCCCTTCCTCATTCGATTGAAAATCTTTCGGGCACGTAGGTCTAAATGGAGGATTACTATTCTCTATTACTTTAGCAACTATCTCTGTAGAGATGAGAGTTAGAAGATAATTAATTGTAAAGGTAAAAGGTGGGAATATCGTATTGAAACCTTTAGGTGATAAATATGTCATAAAGAACGGTAATCCTCTGTATAAAATTTCACTTAGAATCAAGCCAAAAGCATAAACATCTGCTTCTTTAGAACCAAGTGGCAGGGATAATTGTTTGAAGTCTTGACAGCATTCTTTTAGTATCTCCGGTGGAAACCAGAGAAATTTTTTAAATATTTCATAATCTCCTCTGTCTTCCTCCTTTAAAGCTTCTTTCAATAGCAAAGCCTCCAAGTCATGACATCCGTACCAGCTTATTTTTAAAGACCATCTACTATCAATTAAACAGCACGAGCTGGTTAAATGTCCGTGAAATTTTAAGATTGACGAATGCAAAAAGTTCATTCCTGAAGAGATAAATTATCAATTGAATAGTTATTGTTCAAGCTTATCGTTATTAAATACCCGCAGCCAAATCGCTAATAAGAGATGTCTTGAAGAAACTGTCCAATTGAATATCCCCATTTTCTAGAATATCTTGCAGACTTCCCTTTGAACAATATTTCCAGAGTATGTAGATGCGAGTTGGTGTTATACTAAGACCGATAAAACTGTTTAAATTTCCGTGATTCATTTCTTTCATCTATTCAAAAGTGAAGAGAACTGTTATCTTTACATGTTGGAATTGAAAACTATCTTTTTTGTATATAACCTCTTTTAATTCCTTTAATCTATTCATATGAAAGCTGATATTCGGTCCGGAAACAGCAACTGACTTAATTGCAACAGTTAAACTTTTGTAAAGACCAATCTTGGTATAAATTTGATTTTCGCCAATGCCATCTTCAGTCGAACGAAAGATATCCGATATATTCGACTTGAAACTTTTCATACTTGACATAACCTATTTATTAGAGTGGAAACGAGGCTGATATTTTGAAAAGAATAATAAAATTACGCTATGGGTAGCCTTGTTCATGATTTGAACATCATTCATATCAATTTTCCATACTTTTTGACGTATTTCAAATTCAATTTTCTTTCTCCTAAACAAGTTGTATTTATACGAAATAATCGTGAACAGTGAACATTTAAGAAGGAGAAAGGAAGATAAAAGTTTTACCTAAAGTAGATGAAAATTGACAAAGATATCGAAATAACAATGATCGCAACCAGAGTAGAAGCAATTGGAATCAATACTTTACTGGAATCTGTTTGGGAGTTAGAAATTAACGCTCTAGGCATGCGAATCTTTTTTATAGAGAAGGAAAAATTAGATGTTTTGCTTAATAACAATAAATATAAAAGTCTATTTTAAGATGAACATAAACGAATGTACTTTACGTACTTTTTCTACATTTGATAATCTATTTCTTTGAGCGTAAATTTGATATTAGACTGTTAGGATTGTTCATACAAACTTAAACATACTAGATTACTCTACCTGTGGTTTCTTGTTCGCATTTTTCTCCTCTAAAACCGCAAAGAGGTGTATCTCTGACAGGTAAACCATCTTTTGTCATCCATGGAAGGTAATTTTGCTCCTTTACTAATGTTGTATTTCCCAAGCCTTTTGTTAAACTTACGTTCAACCAATGTTGAAATTCTGATTTTTCTCTATTATAACGCCATACCCAATAACCAGGAAGTCGGTCGGCGTTAGAATCCAATTCTATTCGCCCGAATCTTCCAGTAACATAACGGTTCTTTGATTGACTTATCATCCATTCAATGTCGTGTACATCTCGATTATTCTCCACAGATTCGTTTAACAAATGACAGAGAAAGTATGTAGTGTCATACGCAAAAATACTATAAATCGAAGCCGTTCGATTCATATCTTGATAATCCGATATAAAAAATGGAGATTTAGCCGTCTGTTTTGGCACTTCTCCTAGAAAATAGTCAACATATGGTCCAGCCAACGAAGATAGACTTATAAAGAGTAGAGACTCGTAGGCATTCTTTATTTCTTGAGCATTCGGTTGATCATCAACTTCGCTTCCCCAAGGAGTCTTTATGAAATTACTTGGAAATGCCATAAAAAATAGGAATACGTATTCCGTTTCGTCCATATTCAATATCTTTGTTAGATGAAAAAGTGACCTTAATTGGTCAGTAGTCAAGCAAACGTAAATAACTGAAAATAGAGAAGATAAACTATAAAATGAAAAAGAGAAATCATCTTAACGAATACTTCTCGCTCTTTCGGATATTCTCTTTAACGCCTCCTTTATGTCGTTTTCACCAGAATTTACACCAAGAATAATTCTATCCGATAAAAGTAAATCATTTCTCTCAAGGAAAACACGATTGATAGAACTAAGACTAAATTCGCAACCTCCCAGTTCTAGAGTTACCATAGCCATTCTCCTCCAGTTGAAATTATCCATTATTCGGGCGATAGTATCCCCTATAGTATAGTAGCTTGGTACACCAGGTCTTACTAAGTTATTATAAACATTTTTATCATCCAACTTTACATCAGAAGACGAGGAGCTCAATAATAGAACGTTTTTGTAGCTTGCGTATACAGACGATATTAGCGTTACTGAAAAGACACAACAGTTACGGTAATTAAATCGTAGTCAAGTAAATCTTAGTCAGGGTAGCCAATCTTCTCTTTCAAATATTATTCTATATTAGTTTTCAGTAGAAAAGACTGAAAGAAAGTAAAGGTACAAGAAATACCTCTAGAGCATAGACTTCCTATTATAACATCAACATTTTCGTTGTCAATCAATTCGTATTGGGCCTCTGGTCCTAATCTAGAATCGCACTTGTCATCTGTCCATATTAGGCTGCGGAAGGTGTGAATATAGAAAAAAGTTTACTGTTTCTTAATAAACGATTTTGTTAGCTTTGCCGTATTGTCTTTACCTTATATTGATCTTATCAAGTAGGCCCTCAGCTCTACAATCCGACAAAGCAATTGTAAAGGCTCCTCCAATTGAATCGACGGAAAGAAATTTTACAAATCCAGGTGAATTCAATTCTGATTTTGCCAAACTCATCCCAATTTTGAATGAGGTCATGGTAGAAACCATAACAAAGTTGAGAGAAATTATTAATAATATCAACAGAAAGCGAGGCATCTTTGTCTCCCCGTCAAACTCTCGCCACTTTATAAAGAAGAATAACAATACTATATTTTTTTTACCTTATTTATGTTTAATAAAATCGCAAGATGTCTCTGTCAGATGAAAATAAGTAAAGAGAGATAAATAGAAAAGCTTAAAGCTGGCAGGAAGTAGACGCGAATCTCAATTTACAAATGGATGTGATAGACATATTTTATATTTTGTAATAAAAAACTTTCTACGACTTTGGTATAAGAGACGTTATAATAGATTCACTCTTCAAAGGAATTAATTATAATCAATGCCAAAATGCAATTTTTCATACTCTGATCTGAAAGGGAATCCTTTTTTGATTTAGATTCGTCCTTTAAAGGCGGTTATGGTGAGGTGTTTTAATTATCTTAAGAGAGCGGAATAGGATTATATGAACTTTTGTGGCAAATATTTTTTTATTTGGTTCAAATAAAATTGAAAATTAGATAAGTATAAAAACAATAATAAATAACAAACAGTGGCTAGTCTCGGTTCAACTATTCCCTATCAAGAGTTTGATTTGTTTTATCGGTACAATCTACGACACGGGGTTCGTTTACTTCCAAAGGTAGAGTATGAACTTGTAGGCCTGTTAAGAAGGAAGATACTTCCCATAGCTTTTTCGCCACTGATAAACTCTTTGCCTGAATACTTTCTCTTGCGAGTGAACACTTTTCAAAATATCTACCCGTGATTGTCTTAACTCTATCGTCGACGGCCGCATAGACTATTGTTTGAGCAGCAGCATTTGCGTCAATTAACACTGGTTTAACCATCATTCGGATTAGAAAACAAAACCACGGCGGCCATTTGTAAGCCATTCCTTTCCAAAGTTCGGTATCGACACCTCCAGGATGAACAGCGTTGGCCGATACTCCAAACTGAGCGAGTCTCCGTGCCAATTCTTTCGCGTGCAATATATTAGCTAATTTACTGATTTCATATCCGGATAAATGAGGATAGAGAGTATCTTCGTCGCCTTTATCGAATCTAATTAAGGAAACAATATATACTTTTATAAGAGCATCGACACCTTTCCTACGCCTACATTATTAGCCTGAGTTAGATATAGTAAAGTCACAAATATGTAGTGCGTAGCTTTCTATACTATTTTCACTTTATTAAAGGATTGATAAGGAGATTGCAGATAAGAGTAGTAGTAGTATATTAGTACATCATACCTTAATGGTCCCGGTACGAGTATATGTGCCAATGAAGAAACTATAACGATTCGAGCTGGAGCAGATCTTTTTAAATGATTAACCAATAATTCAGTCAACAGAAAATGACCCAAGTGATTTGTGCCAAAGCACAAATCATACCCGTCAACCGTCTTTTCGACGTTACTATAGGCAATAGCGGCGTTGTTTATTAGAATATCGAGTCGTTGTTCGCAAGAAGTAAACCAGATGGCAAACTGTCTTACTGAAGATAAATCGGATAAGTTTAACTTTTTCCAGAAGACACTTGAATTTTTTGATAAATCTGAATAAACACGCGATAAAATATTAATTGATAAAGAAGTTAAAGTTAATTAAGTCAGCATAATTTTAAGAATAGGCCTACTTTTAATATAATTAACACTTTCGAGTCCTTTTTCTTCATCTCTACTAGCAGTGATAACTCTCGCCCCCCTCTTTGCCATATCTAGTGCAACCTCTCTTCCGATACCCGAAGAGGCTCCTACGGAAACAAAGGATGAAGAAACACATAACATCAAACTATTTAACATGAGCGATATTTAGGATTGTAAGAAAATGATCGAACTTCTCCTTACCAGTAATTAAAACAGTTCTTCCATCTAATCTATTCATACTGGAACAATAGACTTTTCTTCCGAAATGGAAATAGGCAACTGCATAAGCTATAATTATACCACAAATTAAGGGAAGGCATATCACTAAGAGAATGTTCATCGTAAACAAAAAAAAAATTAAGACAGTAGGAGGCGCTTCTGTACCCGGTCAATAAATAATCATAACGAACGATATGTTCAGACAAATATCTTTCTTTCTCTTTACTATGGCTCCATCTACAGGACATTTACGTTACGAACCGTTTGTGTTACACGGGAAATGTTTGCAGTAGATGTTTTACGGATTGATGACGGCCGCTCTATATTCGATATGAATATGATATCCGGAAATTTGAAGCGGCAGCAATATTAATTAGTAAGATGAGTTTTAGAGTAAATTTAATTGGTTTTAGTTTGTAATCTATTTCTTTTCCAGTTAGGTGTTGAGTGGTCAGTTTGTCGGCCGTCTGGCCAGTCATCCAGGGGTAGAAGAAGAAACGAATTTAAATAGACGCCCTAAATCCTAAAAGTATGATTTATAAGTCTTAAAGGAATATTTTCAAAGGAAATTGAAACAATGAAATAAACGTTATTCGTCAGTGATCTAATACAAATAAATTGATTTTTAGTATCGTTCGATTAAGGAAAAGATTAAAAGCGTCTAAATTATAGTCGATAAAAAAAGACATCAAATGCTAAATGAGAAATTTATTACACCAACATCTTTCTAAGCTGAACACGCGAAAATCACTTCCGTCAGACTAATAATAATTTATTCCTCGTAAACTGCGTATCAAATAGAGCCAGTTGGTCATGTGACCCTGTTCTTAAACCAATCGCCGACTTTCTTTCCTTCTTCATTGCCTTAAGAGAAACTAACCTTTGAGCTGAGACTACAAGCAATAGTTCACTTTGGCATCTAAACTTACTCCTTTTTCCGAGCCAGAGGCGTTTCATTCGACGGTCGCGTGTTGGGCAGATCCGTGGGCGGAGACGTTGGAAACAAGAAAGAATTAATGAATGAACGCACCTGTACATGTTATGTGACGCCTACGGACTGATCGAGGATTTTGAAAAGGCGTGTACTTTCTGAAGTGATTCGTAAAGCTGATTAAACACCCTTCCTTTCGGCCCAGGTGTAACTTTACTTCTTTGAGATCTGTGACAGACGTCGGACAGCATTTTGCGGGATTCTCTAAACAAAATCTCTATCTGCAATTTTTTCTTCAATTTTAAATATTAATTAAGAAAATACAGGTGAGGCGTCTCTTTTATACTTTTTTTTACTAGCTTAATTTTCCCTCTTTTCATTTTGAGCGCCAACGTACCTTTCGTTTGTTTTTCCTTTTCTCTTACTCCTCTCCATCTCAGCGTTTTCTCGGTCCCTCTACTTTTCTGTTCTTTCTCGATTAATTATTAAAAGCAAAATTGGACGCCGAAAAATAAAGCCCTTTCTAAAGAATAAGCTTAAATAAAATTAGGAGAAAAGGATAATTATATGCACTCACCTTTTCTTTGAACAAGAACGAGTGAAATCTACGATAACGTCTCCCTTCCTTATCGGAGAATACAATCAATTTATAATTAATAAATCCAGGTAGAATCCGTTACGACTAAGTAGAAGGTATCGAAAGAACAAAAGAGAATTAAAGTATATTTTCGTTCAAGTGTTAATAAAATGAACGCTTGAAAAACCTTCATCATTCCGACAAATGAAAGTTCGTCCACCGTAACCAGAATGGAATGAGAGAAAGTATTACGTAATTAGCACCTTATCAAACATACGAATAACGGTACATGTGAGGTTTCAAAGACGCCTTACGTGACACAATCTCACTGCGTGACGCCCTATCATTCAGCCGATCATTCAACGCACGTGCTAGCTATTTGTGCTTAATTTTCGGACGCCGAAGATGCTGTGACGCCTACTGCGTCCTGGACGTTTAGCTAAGTAAAGTGGCTAACTAATTGAATTTTACACGACGTTTGCGATGACGGTCGACTGTCAGCAATAAGTGACGTCGGGTGGGTCTCGACGTTGAAAGGTTATTGTCAAGCTGCCAAATAGCAAGAACAAGTTTTTCTTTCATGAAGATTAAGTTTTTATTTAATAGATAGAAGGGGAAAAGTAAATGAAATTAACCTCCTTTTTACGTCTTTCACCCTTCGACCACCCACACAGCCCACCCCACTCATTAACGCTTTAAATCATATATACGTTTATAATTGGCAAGGATTCACTATTACTATTTATGTTATTAGCAAAGATACTAATTCAATTCACCCCATATACACGCCTAGATCAACCACGAAGACGTGCGTTGACAAATGATGGCATCAAACTGGTGACAGACAGGGCAAACACAATTGGCAATTGCAGCATCAAATCGAGTTTGTCCCGTTTGCGAAGGGGCGTCCATCTGCGCACTATTTTTTCTCTATAAATTTTTCTTAACAACAATCCGACACCTCTGTTGAATGGCGCCGTCCATTAAGATTTTTTTTATTTCTCCTGTAATTTGGGGATGATTTTAAGTAAATTCCCCAAAACGTTAAGCCCTCTTAATTCCCTTCGTCCTTCTACTTCTTCAGTTTATATCTTAATTCTCTGCTGAACGCTGTTAGATCGTCAGAGTAGATTTATTGAAGTTGGTGGGGACGAGCGTAAATTATTTATTTGTTTGCTTTTCTTTTCTCTGTAGGGCATGCGAGTAGACAGAAAGAAAATGGAACAAGAGAATCTTAGCCGCGAAGAGCGAAGAAGGAGGAGGAGAGCGACTGAAAAGTATCGAACTGCTCACGCAACAAGAGAAAGAGTCAGAGTGGAGGCTTTCAACGTAGCCTTTAGCGAACTGAGAAAGTTATTACCAACCTTACCACCGGATAAGAAACTGTCAAAGATTGAAATACTCCGTTTGGCCATTTGTTACATAAATTATCTCAATCACGTTCTAGAATTGAACAACGGTTAAGTAAACTCTTCTTCATAAAGGAAGTAAACAAAATTACAAATGAAGAAACAAGAAGATAAACAAACAAGTAAACAAACAAACAAACAAACAAACAAATAAATAAACATGTATACCAGCCTCGTATGTCTCAATGATAAATTATTAAAGGAAAACAAAAAAGGAATCACTCTAAATATAACATTTTAACTGCATGTACACTCTGTTTGAATAGTTATATTATCATTATCATTATCGTTATCTTTGTTATATTATATACTTATATGTTTGTATTATGCTTATATTTATTTATCTACTATAATTTTTAATACACATACTTTAGAGATCCTAATACTGTACGCTATTCGCCTTTCTATCACCTCTTCTTTAAACGCTGCACAATACACTACTCAACTCTCCAATATCTCACTGAAAACTACGTAATGGCGTTACATAACTGGCATCCTATCCCCTCTAATAAGCTCATAAAAAGTATTGGTAAAATTTTGTAAAATTTTAGACGCGTCTTCTTGATTTTAGCGCGTCGTGGGAAAAGATTAGCTAGTCGTTCAGAAGCAGTTTATCGCGCCTTCATCATCTGTTGCTATAAAAATCTCTTAAATCGTCCTTTTTGCCCGATAAACTACCGACCCGTAATGGGTTTAAGTTGATTTTCTGCTTGGATGGTGATCGAATTGCTATTAACGAGTATTGAACCGACTATAAACGACGTTTGTGGTTGTCTAATTGAATTTCAGCAAGAAATATTGGCGGAACACACTAATTTATGCTAATTCGTTGTTCGGAAACATTGATGGGCGTCTGTTAGAAACGATTAGACGCTTCGTTTAAGTTTGCTTCGAAAAAAATCGCATCAAATTTATTCGATTCTTCCTATAATTACGTAAAGAATAGGAAGAGGAAGGGGAGTGCCGGGGTGGAGAAGTCAGAATCGGAGTAGGAATCGTCCGAATAAAAGTCAAGGGAACATAAGATATTTATACCAAGCATCGTCTGTATAAAGATGATGGAAAAGCGTCTATTTACTCTAGGAATTGGCTAGAAAGTTTCCAATATTCGCATTTTTACCCACCGTCACTTTGTTCCCAAAAGGCAGATGACCGAAATTTTTTCTATGTAAACATTCTATTGTCACATGATTAATTGGATTTGGCGTCTAAATATTGTCTCTTTTCAACGCCTTCTAGGGGAAGAGGGAAATATAAAAAGGAGGCTATTTATAGAAGAAAATTCAAGATTTGTACCTTTTTTGGCATCGTCTATGCTAATTATCTAATTTCCATAATTAAGATAAAAAAAAATAATTAACTACCTTACGCTTCTTTCTTCCTAAGTAAATCGCATTAAGCGTTAAGACTATAATTTTCCCTTTGATCTTAACTAACCTACCGAAATTGTTACCTAATTATGAAGCGTTTCAACGTCCTAATAAGGCCTAACTATTTTTATTCTTATATATAAAACTCCGTATCTCGATCTGAATACCTAATTAGGAGAAATGTCGCAGGTGTCCATCTCGATCTTTCAGAGTCTTTTAAAGCCGACTCGCCGGATTATCACCTGAGACTTGGCGACTGGCTCTTTACGTTCTATCAACTGTTATATTTATTAAACTTTAAACGGAACTCTGAACCTGATGAATATTGCGACAGAGCGTTCTTTAGGCGTCTATTTACGGTCTAGTAGTGAGTGAGCTGTGTAAATAGATGAATTAAATAAATTCCGACGAGTTCGCTACTATCGAGTGGTACTTGTGGGAATTAAATTGTTCTATTAGACGCTTCTGGGCGTAATTGAACTCTGTTACGACGTCATTCGCCAATTCGGGTGTTCTCTGTAGTAAAATTCCATCAGAATTATGAGTTTATACAAAGAGTTGACAAGGGTAAAAACAATTTGATCATTTTAGAGAAAAAAGAGAGATTGCCCTCTTATTTCTATCTAAAGCTTTAACGGTGGCCGACATGAAACGGAAGAAAAAACCATTGAAATATAATAACTAAAAAAGCAAAGAGATTGAAAGAGGGAGGGAGGGAGAGATGGAGAGGGAGAGGAGGAGAAGAAAGAGGAAAGAAAGGTTATAATAGGTAAGAATATATATGCATTATGAATATAAAAGTACTTTAGATATAACTTATAGATAGGTTTATACTATGCAGTTACACACTGTATCTATACAAAAAAATACGCTGTCAAATTTCACTACACTCTCTTTAATCTTAAATCCGCTTTCTTCCCTCCTTTCTTCCTTTCTTTCTTTCTTTCTTCTTTTCTTTTCTTCTTGTAGAGTTAATCAAGTTATACAAACCTCATACTCGAAAGTTTTTCCTCGTCGTAGAATTTAGATATTTCATTAAGTTTGGATGCTTTTCCAGTTGGCACTATTCAGACAAAAAAATACGGTCACGTTCATATTTCTCATATAGAATTATGTATAATATTTCTATCTATCTTTTTAACCTTCTGCGATTGTAAGAGTCTCTGTTCTTTCCCCCTTCTTCATTCCATCTTACTGAATTAATCGAGTGGAAAGGCAACAAGAGTCCGCTCCCTCTAACCCGATATATCTCTTTTCAACGACAGTTATCATCTGGTTACATCAGTTTTACCCAATAGATGGAGGCACTCGACACGCCTTCAATGGATTGAACACTTAAAGGGCAATTGGTAAAAGGTGATGAAGCGAAAGTAGATGCGATGAATAGGAGAGACAAGGCTATTTATAAAACTTTGGTCCATTTAAATCTTGACCAATATTACTGAGTATCTTTAATAAGAGAATTAATACGAGTCATTCAGAAAGTGGCGGACAGATAATATTTAAACGTTAATTAATAGAAAGTAAAGAGACTATCTATTGGTAAACAAAACAGACTAATTGATTGCCGTATTTCAGTCCACATAGTCCAATGGGGTAAAGTGAACGCTTTTAAATAATTGATTAAGATTGATTGTCTTCCCAGGACGCTGAAAGACAATCAGTTGAGCATTTTCTTTTGATTTATACGGAAGGTTTTCATTAAGAAAAGGAAGGAATTTTTTTCTTTTATCTTAAGTCTAATCCCAAATGAATTTATAATGAAAAAACTATGGAGATTTACAAAGAGATTATCGATTTCAACTTTCTTACTGCTACTAATATGCCATCTACTAAGAATGAAACTATCTTCCTTCCTTAATGAAAGTACTACAAACTGCTCCAACGTTTGGCCTTTAATTGATAATAGAAAAACTAACGACGGCCATTTATACGACAATAACGAAAGGACTATCAACGATATTCTGGTATGTTTGAACAAATCTCAAGTCAACAATGTGTCGTTTTTCAGTAAAGAAGACGCCTTTATTAATCTATCTGATGTTGGTAGTAGTTTTAAACTATTAATACAATTAGATCCAAATCTAACGGTTGTATTTAAGCCAAAATGGTAAATTATATGTGAAATTTTCCAATCCGAAAAGAGTATAAGCCTTCTAATAATGTGACAGGTATAAAAAAAATAATTACGTAAAAGAATACTGGTATGAAGGTTTTGACGTTCCTCATTCGGAAGTAGCAGCATTTCACTTGGACAGGTAGGCAAGAGAGAGAAGAGAATGAATATTTTCACCTGTATAAACGTATAATTTAATTAAAATGTTGCAGATTATTAAATTTTAGAAAATCTCCTTTCGTAATTATGAGAAAATTTCACTTGTTTAATGAAATCATATCGAAATCCTCGAAATTCGTTCGAAAGAACGTAATTTTCAATTTAAAACGTAAATATATTGTTATATAGTTAAAGAAAAGGCGGCAATCTATATCATTTACATTTCAATCTTTTCTCCTTCCTTAATCAACTTTTAATCGAAATTATTAGTATACAGTATTATAAACAGTGATATATTAGACTATTTATCGTTGTTTCTTTAGAGAATCGCTGGTGTCTTACTTCTAAGTGCTACTTTTGCGAAGATGTCCTTGAGTCTTGCGCAGACTCTAATGGTTATATTGAAGGTTCTATTTCTGTATTTTTTCATAATATCAACTTGCTACCTAATCATCCGTGGACATATGAAAATTACTTCCGGTTCGTATATATTACGTTCTATGAGAACAACAATTAGCAATTAAATATATATATATATACTGTAATACATGATATTTATAGATATCCTTCACGTAATTGCGTTCAAATCATTCAAAAGAAATATCCCCTCTTTGGAGAGAAAATTGCATTGAAATTTCTTCTAGATTTGGTCGATTTAGCTATTTTTGATTTTTTATCAGGTCACTTTGACTCGAAAGTTTATATCGAGAGATCGGAACGAAATAGCAACGACTACAATACATTTGTCCATATAGATAGAGGAAGAGCGTAAGTTGATATCCAAAATCAAAGAACATAATAGACGCTTAAAGCAATTCTTTCGACTATTTCCATAGATTTAATGAGGTCGGAAACGTATCTAGATTGCTCTCAGGCATTAACGCAATTGTTCTTAGAAGTTGTTGTACTTTTCGAAGATCGACGTTTAATCTTATCAATCTTCTTTCAAAATCACCTCAAATGTTCGTAAAGAAATTTCGCACAATTCTCATATCGAATCAACTCTATCTGCACGAAGAAACGTTTACAATATTAAATATGGCGATAATGAAACTATTCGAAAGGATGAGGGAATGCCCTCAAAGAGAGATTTACGAAATTAACTAACACCGTAGTTAACGCACTTTTTGTTTCTCCCCCGCTCTCTCTTTCTTTTTACGACTGCAAAATGAATGTGAGTGTAATGGAGAGAAAAAAGATATTCTAATTATCTTTCAAGAGTACACAGGACTCCTCGGAACAAGAATTGGTCGAATTATAAATCTCTAGATCTCTCTCTTTCTCTCTTAAATTTTATTTGATATTTTATGTTTATTATAAAAATATATCAGGGTAATAAATATTTAATCAACTATATCATAATTATTAGTATTTCAATTATACTGTAGCGTCTATATAGCGGCGTTAGTTTAGTTGAAATTGTCAGTAGAGCTAACCTATCTGCGCTTTGATTGGCAAAAGAATTGAAAAGAGTGTAAAATTCCTTGTTTACAATCATGTTAGAGTTTCGTGTCCTTGCTGTTATTATTTTTGGATGTTTTGAGGTTCTACTCGGAGGTTTGGGCTTAGGTTGGCCAAGTTTAGTGTATATGCTGAAGCACGAAGGTTTCTTTATCGAAAAATGCTCTAGTAACTCGACCATTCTTGAAGTCAATTGCAAAGAACGCGATACGGCCTTTAATCTCGTATTCTCCGTATCAATGGGATTAGCAGGATTTGGAGGACTTTTTTCTGGTTTTATTCTCGATAAATTTGGTTTATTCTGGTCGAGAATTAGTCAATTGTAAGAGTTTATTTACATTTTCGTTAAATCATATTTATTTCATACTTAATCAAAGTATTATATCATCTCTTTCAGTCTTCCGCTTTTATTGTGTTACGGTCTTCTCAGTTCCAGAATAGGTAGTTACATTCTTCAGTTACTCTTCCTTACTTTTTTAGTAGATGTATTCTTCAACAGTCAACGGCTCCCTTCTCTTTATAAGCATCATTTCGTTGAATTTCTCTAATATACAAATTTTGAACAATTCTACCGTTTTGGCTAATCTCGTTCCACAATATAAAAGTATAATAATTTCAATATTCTCTTGTATGTTCAACACGTCGATTGCGGTTGCGGACGTAATAAAGGTTATATTATGTAATTTACCTATGTAAATGATACAAATACCGCTATAAACATATTTTAGATTATCTACGAAAGAGGAATTGAAATGTACAAGATATTTTTGTTTCTTTCCGGTATTACGGTTATCCAATTAACGGCAAGCGGACTTTTGATGCCTTACAATAAACCTTTGGATGAAAATTTTGAAACTTTAATTGAAAAGTTTCAGAAGAAAAAGGACAGTGTTCCAGATTTGGCGATAGGTATGCGTCAAGCGTGCCAATCTACTCTGGAGATAGGTAATTACTATTTATTCTAAAAAAAGTATGACCTACTTATAAGAGAGATGTACAGTATATTAAATTGCCTTTTTACAGTTTCAGTAACTGCCGTGAAGAAAGATAAATTTTTGGATTTTAGAAACTTTTTACAACATTTCAAGAAACAAAAGAAGAAATTAAGAGAAACTTTAAGCAATAAATTATATTTACTTACAGTCATGTTCGAAGCTGTAAATCATTTGAATGTAATCTATTATATAAGCTCTTTGAACTCGGTTATTGAAGATATGGCAGATAACAATTCAGAATTAGGTAGGTTCTAAGCAATCTCTGCTTTATTCAAAACTTGACTCTTGCCTCTTAATAAAACTATTCTATTCCATCTTACTTTCAATCACAGTTAGCTGGCATATATCACTCTTCTCCTATATTCAATACGCTAATGTAATAGTTGCCTTGTTCATTGGATGGATTATAGAAAAAGCCGACAAATCGAACAATAGATTCGCTTTTTCGTTGATGACACTCGTCTGCATAATTTCTGGATCTTCAATTGTATTAATTGTAACAATTAAGGTACTAAACCTGCAGGTTGTCGGATATTTTGGTTTTCTTTTAGCGCGTATATTGACCTATTCATTGCCACCAGTTATCTTCCTTAGATGGTTTGTATTGTATCTTTTGCCTGCCTTTTAACTTAGCTTTTATTCGATATTTCTAATAAAAAACTTAGGTTGGACAATGAACATTTTGGTATGGCTATGGGCTCTTGTCAAGTTATACTGAGTGCCTTCGGTCTGATGGCTAATCCCTTGTATCGGCTCAACGTCGAAGTATTTCGAAAGAATAACTTGTATTCTACTCTTGCAATGCTTGGAATTTTATCGTTTTCCCTACCTCTGCCTTTCTATCTCATTTATAGAAAGAAAAGAGAAGTTAACGAAGATTATAACTTTGGAAAGGAGGTCAAGCCTTCTTATTCAAATTGATCACGACTTTTGAATGAGTAAAGAGATTGAAAACGACATGTGTACTTATATGAACGCAGCAGAATGTATAGAATGGAATATATAGAATAAAATAATTATTCAAATAAACGCCTTTAATTTGACTTCTTTCCATGAATAAATTATGATTAATTAACTTCCTTTATTACTCTCTTCTTTCTATTTTATCATTTCCGCTCTGTTTATCTAAAAGCGCTGAAAAAGTCATTTCTTTTTTTCAACTTTGAATTTTATAGATCAATGACTTGAAAAGAAAACGTATTTGTTTATTGTTCAAACTATATATAGATATACACGAAACTTGATGGCCACTTTCAACGTTACATATAGTCACATCAACAATTTCATTAAACATGGGAGAAAACAGAAGTTTTAATGAGAATAAAACATCTGTAAGAGCGCAAAGTCTAATTTAGATTTTAAATAAAACTGGCAAACAGGCTTCTCATTCGAGAAACAACCATGAAAATTCGTATTGTTCTGCTGGTTATTTCCTTAATCTCCTTTTCGTATGGAGAAAGGAAATCGTACAAGGGGTATAGTTAATTCTAATAGTTTTATTTGACACCTTGACAAACTGTCTTCTCTTTATAAATTTCTAGTTATAAAATAGTTAAGGTTATTCCAAGCGATCAGCAACATCTAGAATGGTTAAAGGATGTTTACAAACAGGAAAAGGTTAATTGAAAAAGCAACAAATAAACAAAAAATAAAAAATAAGATATCAGAATCAAATATTTTTCTTTCTCTTCGAAAGGTTGATTTCCTAATTGAACCTTCGGTTAAAGGTGTCCCATGCGAAGTTCTGTTGTCGCCTCAACAACAAATTCCCTTCGAAAGAAGCTTGAACACTTTCAACTTTCAGTACGAAGAATCTAATGCAGATGTTGAAAGGTAAACAAAACTCGCCTATATTTATTCATCCTTCTATTGGTTGTGACCTATATTTTTAGCCCATTTCTTGTTATTCTTTAATTAAATAGCGACCTCCAGACTCTTTGGTCTCGTTTGGATAATAATAAAAATTTTAATTTGGACGATTTCAACGACTTTGACACAATTATGGACGGTTTAGATGAAATGCAGTCCAGATGTCCAAATGGTGCTTCTTGTAGTATTAGAAGCATTGGTAATTCGCATGAAGGAAGGCTGCAAAAAGTTTTCGAGGTATCTAAATCTCTTTTCATTTTAATCACTTAATTCCTTTTATTAAAACTCTTTCCTAACGTCAACTACTAGTTGACCAAAGAAGGCAATGGTAGAAAAATTATCTGGATTGATTCTGCTATTCATGCTCGTGAATGGCTCTCTGCCGCAACTGTTCTCAATATTTTAAATACCGTAAACTCTACAATAATCATCTATATTTTTCTTTATACTTAAACTCTGTTAACCTATCCGACAGTTGATTGAACAAAGCGATCAAGATGCTATTAACTTGTTCAACAAATACGACTTTTACTTTCTTCCAGTTGTAAATCCTGATGGGTACCAATATACTTTCGACTATGTCTGTTGACCTTTACCTTACAAAACTTTTGCAAAATATTTTTTCTTATTATTGAAATTAAAGGATAGATTCTGGAGAAAAAATCGTCGCCAAAATCCTGGAGGATGCTTCGGAATAGATTTAAATAGAAATTACGATAGTAGATGGGGTACCGATGGCGTCTCCACCAACCCTTGTTCCCAAACTTACCCTGGAGCTTCTGTAGCCTCCGAGAGGGAAACCGTTAATGTTCAGAATGAAGCTCTAAGAATTGGTTCAAATACTTTAGCTTGGATCACAACTCATACATTTGGACAGATGGTCTTAACTCCATTTTCATATACCGAAGATGGAATTTGCTACAGATCCGACGATTATGCTGAATTGGTTGGTATTAGTATTTACTTTACGTATAAAATGTCTACAATTTATCGACTATCATGATAAACATTATAGAAAAGGTCAGCTGACGCCTTTGCTAACGGAATTGAGGAAGTCTACGGAACAAGTTGGGTTAGAGGATCGTTTTGCGAAGTTCTATGTAAGATTCAAAGACAATTTTCAATTGATAAAGCCAACTACTTTTGCTATCGATCGTTTTAGATCCTGGATCTGGTACCCTTGTAGACTACGTTAAGGAAAAAGCAGGTGTAAAATATTCCTACACACCAGAGTTGAGGGGTCCCGGTTTTGATCCATCTAGAGATCAAATTCAACCAAGTTATAATGAATTTTGGAATGGCTTCAAGAAACTGATTGCTGAAATCGAAGCAATTGAAGGACTTAATTGAGGATTCGAGATATTCAAATTAAACAAGAGCTTAATTCCTACATCCGTCTAATATTCTTTAATTTTAAATATAAATTGAACTTAAAACAACAAAATTTGAAATAAAAAAAAAAGGAATTCTCAGCTCAATAAATTCCTTATCAACAGTAAACAAATAAACAGTCATAGTTTAAAAATTATTCTCTCTTTATCAAAAATAGAGCCGACTGGACTAGTATATCACGCTCCGAGAAAAATCTCAGAACTAAATTACCATAATTCGGGATGGATCTCACGTTCTTCACTGTCATCTGCATCAAATGAGGTGCTAGCATTATGCGGTCCCGAAGTACTGTTGTCAATTAAATTATTCGATTTAAATAGCAGAAAATAACAAATAGATTTTAAGATTTAGCAAGCATTTTTAAAAATTTTAGAAAGCATTTAGTTTTAATGAAATTATTAACCTAGATATTCAACAACTTACTTAAAAATTAATTTCAATAAATCAGGATCAAAATTCTTTCCTGCAGTACAAATGTCAACACTAGCCGTTTGACTATCAGTTTCTTTCTCGATGATACCCGCTCCTCTTACTCTCTCAAACAGTGTTAAATCATTATGCGTCTTTTTGTAGATTTTTTCATCAATTGTTTCAACAACATAATTTTTTTTAGGGAGTTTTTGAGATATAAATCCTTCTTTCCAAATAAACTTTCCATCGTCTTTACAACTTATCCACACAGATTCATAAAGCTGAAAAGATCTTCTATGAATTCGTTTACTTGCTTTCGATTTGGGAGAAGAGGAATTATTTAACACAGGTGATTCTTTCTTTTTTCTCTCCGAAATTGGCTATTGTGTAAACAACGATAATTGATCACCTATAGTTAATAAGTAAACTTTAATTTTTAGCTTACATTGGTCTTTATTTTTCTCTCAACTTTAATTTTTGAAATCTCGCATCTTCCATTGAGTTTAATGGGACTTTTGACTGTTTCAAAATTGTGATTGTTATTTTAACCAAACCCTTCATAACAAATAAATTTTAGGCACCTTTAAGTTTGTCTTTCTTTATCTTTTCTGGGCTTTTCTTATTCAGGATTTGAATTGCTTTCTTTAATTTTAAGGCAGGTTTAGATAATGAGGCCTTCTTTAATAAGGTAGGACTGTTAGATTTTTTCACTGGAGATTTAATTGTCTTTTCCTAAAACATAATAAAATTTTATAAAATGTTGAAATCTTACTTTACTTTCAAATTTACTTAATGATATAACTTAAAACTTACGTGAGCCGTTTCTCCGTTAATAAATTGTTTCCTTTTCTTCTGATGTTCTTTTTGAAACTATTCATATAATATATATTTACATTAGTAAATGATTATTCTTTTATTATGACTGTCTAATACCTTCTTTAACAAAGATATTTGTTCCTTCTATTTAAGAAAAAAAGGAATATTAATAAAAATAAATCCAACTCAAAAAAAAGTTATTCCTACCTCGCAAAATTCGTTAAGTTGGCGAAATCTTTTAGGAGGCTAAAAGAAGAAGTTTTCGTTTTTATTTCAATAAATTAAAGAGAAAGTAATTATAACATATATTTTTAATATCCAAATAATCTATACAAGTATATATATACTGTATATATACACAACACATACAAACCAATGTATAGATTGCTGATATACAACCAATAATTTTAGGTTTAACTTACTAGGATATTGCGTCTATATCTTGAAGTCTTTGACGGATCCAAAAGCTGTTTGAAAACATTACATAATAAAGTTGTAAAAATAATGTGCTAATTATAATTAAATAATTTGCCAGATAAAGAGTTTTACCTTAGATCCTTTTCTCGGTGATCTTTCATTTTTTAAACGAACATTCTTATGCTTTACTATGAGATCACTAATTTGACTTTTTAATTCTTTACTTTTGACCACTCTTCTCTTTTTAACATTTGATGTTTTAAACTCTGTTTTAAAATTGTTTTCTTCCCTTTTTCGTTTTAGAAGTGTTTTCTTCAGCCTGTTGTCCTTAAGGAGGTCGGAATGATTAATTTTCATATTTAGATTTATTCGCTTTTTATTCACAGTCTCTAATCTTTTATTTCGATGCTTAAGCAAAATTTCTTTATTTTTTTCACCTTCTAATTTTAAGGGACTTTTCTTTGGGGATTTGTCTGAATTTAAATTTAAGTCTTTCTTTTTTGCTTTATAAGCTTTAGTGGTGTTTAATGGCTTTTTTGTTGTATTATTATTGGATTTCCTCTTTCTGTTGTTACCATCTTTTTCATTAGACTGTCCTTTATTATCTTCTATAACCGTTTCTGTCTCTTTAGCTTCTTTGCGACGTCGAGGTCCTCTTCTCGTTATTTCATTTTCGCTATTCGCATTCGAGCATTTCGAATTCACTACATCTTTATCCGGCTTACTCTTAGTAACGGTCTTGTTCTCCTTATTAAATTCTTTCTTTGATCCATTTACAAGCTTTTTCCTACCCCTTTTCGCTGGTTTTATCGAATCAGTATTGTTTAATCGCGAAGTTTTATTATTAGTGGTTTTCTTTTGACGTTTATTCTTATCAGGGTTAGCTTCTATTTTATTTTTCACGTTCTTTTTGGAATGTTTATTTTTCTCTTTCGCAAAATTGCTCTCTCGAACAGGTTTTATTGATTTTACAGTTTCCTGTACGTGAAATTGATATTTTAATTTCAATTTTATTGCAAAATTTAAAAAAACAAAATTCTAAATTCATCTATTGAAATAAATAATTAAAGATTTCTCTATTATTTGTAAAATATTAGTTAAATTAATTTTAACTCCAAAAATATAGAAGAGAATCCGAAATAATTGAATAATTTTTGTAAAACGCATTGAAAATACTATAGGGTGCATTATATATTTTTAAAGAATAGTTTTGTAAAAAACAACAAGTTTAATTTAGAATTTTTAAGAGAATAACAAATGCTTAAGATATAAAGAAAACAATATTTACATTCTTCTTGGCGATTTTGCTTCTTTGAGTCCCCTTTGAAATTTTACTGTCACCGTTCTATTCCAGCAGAAAGAGCGATAATGTAAGAGAAAAGTAACTGCTAATGGAAGAAAATACGTACCGATATGGGTTTCCGAGTCGTGGTTTTAAGACGCGGCTTCTTTTTAGCTGTCATTAATTTTGAGAGTATTTTTTCGTCGCCAAATTTCACCGGTGAATGGATCTTTTAAAGATTTTCTTGGAAAAATCAAAGCCGCTCTAGCGCGGAGAACATTCCTCTACCGGATACGGATACATTATGAATTAGCTACCAGTTTATATTTTTTTTTGTTAAAAAAATGGTGGCAACTTTAAACGGTCAGAGACTATTTTACAAAACTCAATAGATAAAATTGCTTCTTACGCAGTTAAATACAATACACATATGATATAAATACACAATTTTTAAAAATGGATTAGATTTTGAAAGATTTTAGTTTATATCTCATTTAAAAATTTGTATAAACATATTATATAATCTTAATCAATATAAATATACAGTATATTGCTATTACTATACACTGTTCTATATTTCATTAGATAACGGATCAATATTTCCAGTGCATATTTTGATATAGGATTATATTTGTCTACAATTGGACATTTGTGTGAATCTCTGGTCATTAGAAGAGCCATTAGTTCCCGATTTAACTACAGAGGGCGCTCACTTAAAAAAGCTCCGATTCTCTTGAGATTGGTTGAAAGGAGATAAATTCGCATGAATATTAATACAAAAAAGCAATATAGGGCATTTGATTGTTTGATGAGTATTTCATAGAGTTTCATTAAATAGGGTTGACTAGAAAAGAAGAAGGATGATTCATGTCCAGATAGGGATGAGAACGAGGGAGATGGATGGAGATAAAGAGAAAATATTTTAGTGTTACATTTGGCCGTTTATTGTAAAGAGAGAAAAAAACATAGAGGAATGTTAATTATTATCCATTTAAGCTTTATTTCAATCCGAATTCCCAATACACACGAGTCTTAAGCAATATAATAAAAAAGCAATCTTATTTCAGCGGCAGTTGGTGTGAACACAAGACAATATCAAAAATGTCACTAATCTATCATCTGGATATGCGGGTAGCATTTTTTTCTAACTCTTCATTTCCTCCATCAGCAAATCACTAAGGATTTTGATATTTATTTGCTATTTGGTAATAGGGTTGGGGCAGTGATTTTGTTTTACTCATACTTACGAAACGTTTAGTCAAAGCGATATTGACTTTCTTTTCTATCAATTTCGTCGTTTGAATTGAAATAATGAATTCAGAATACAATCGAAGAAAGGGAATGGAGGAGAAAGGAAGAGGGGAGAGGAGAGGAGAAAGAAAGAAAGAAAGAAAGAAAGAAAGAAAGAAAAGAAGAGAGAAAAAAATGAGGGGAAAATTAGCATATCCCTAAACGATGCTTAGGTGAGATATTTTACGTTTATAAAACATCAATAAATTAATCGCATACTGGCTAATTACGCGTGTATTAATTTAACGAAATTCTCTGCGTATCTATCTAATAAAAAACAAGCTGTTCCCTATTTTAAGTAGAATCTAAGGATAAATGTAACGAATAGTTTGTTTTAGCAAGATTTTTATTACCCAACGTTAATTTTTCTTTTCTAACGTAGATTCTTTAAATATTTATAATTTTCAAGATTAAGGATATAGTTGATCGGTTTTCAACGGGTTATCTGCTAGAAACATAATAAATAAGCCTATTCACTCAACCTTTAACCTAGAACGCTTTATAAAGTATCCTAGTTAGTGATGAATATGTTAAAGAATTCTTTCCTTCCATGTATTACAGAAAGATGGAGAGATTTGTAGTAGAAGATAGAGTCTTTTTTCGCATGAATTACCCTAATTTCGCCGTCAAGTAAACACATTAACTACTTCCTTATTCTCTTAATAATATGAACTCTTTTTCCGCTCAGATTAACATCTCTTAGGCATATAGCCAAGAATTTCGCGTTTTACTCGCCAAAGTATACAAAATCTTCCTTCTAAAGTTTATTTGGATAGGTGTAAACATCTTTTTCGCCATCTCATTTACATAACAATCATAAATCAACCAATGAACATTTGTCGCTGACATTTGACAAACGGTGATTGGTTCGTAAGAGTCACGTGACTCACTTCAAGAGTTTCACTCGAGCAATGGATTTTATGCGTTTGGTATTATTCTTAGGTGAGTTTGAAAAGTTTATAAACGTAGAAGGATTAATACTGTAATGTGGTATATTCCTCTGAAGAGAATACGTCTGGTTTTTGTTATAACAAAATTTGTACTTTGTCGATAGAATTTATCAACAATTTTTTTTTAAATTCACTTTGAAAGAAGAAGAAAATTCTGTAATAACGAAATAATATAACTATTCAGAGAATACATTTAATGTCCCTCTCTCTCTCTGGTTTCCTTTTCCTCTTATTTCAATTGAAAAGATATATTTATGTATGGAAGATTATTCGTTGTTTTTTTAAGAATAAGCGGGAAAAGAGCAACCGAGATAGATAGAGAGAGAGAGAAAACAAGAACATTATAGTTACTTTTACTAATAAATATATAATGTAGAGTAGACTCTATTTAGTAGACATTTTTATCTCCTTTAATATTATTAAATATGTCAGTAAACACGTTTTAATTCTATAATAAATATTCTTTATCGAAAAGAAAATAAGCTAATGATCTATTCTGTACGGACATTTATGAAGTTTTTTTTAGTTGTTACAAGCTGTAGGAAAGTGATAAAGAAATAAAAAACAAGCTCTTTATAAATAAATAGACATAATTATTGATATTTTTTCTATAAGCGAATAGATACGTTTTTGAAAAGCACCTCTATATGGTATTTATATACACAATAGGAATCTTTTATAATATTGAATTAATGTTAAAAAGTAACTTACTAGGAGGTGTGGGTGACTGGGTTGATAACTGGGTGGGTGGTTTATTATTATTGCAATTATTATATAATAGACGTGTTTTAAATGAGCTACCAAAGTCTTAAACGAGCAGGAAGAAGGAAGAAATTCATTATACGCATCGCCAAATATTTTAACAAGTTGCCGATGATAGAGAAAATCGTAATTTTTAATTGAAAAGCAAATCTGTTAATAATTCTTTGACAGTAAGATGTTTACGTTTCATTATCTTGGTCAACTTGTGAAATTCAATGTATTCAACGGTTTAAATTATGTAATTATTAAGAGTTTGAGAAAAACTCTTATATTAAAAGCTCAACGGGTATGGGGAATGACACTTGTATTAGATCTACTAGGGTAGACAATAATACGTAATTGGTTACATACCCGCATTCATTACTCTTAGGGCGTGCGTGCGTGTACGTGCTTGATTGAATAGTCTTTTGATAAATTGTTACAATGTATAGTATTGAATTTATATACTTTAATTTAATTGATTAGATCTGTACGCAAAGTTGTAATAATGTTGTTAATAATCTATTCTTTTTCTCTTCTTTCCCCTTCCGGTTCAAACAACAAACAGTATGCTTTTTTACGGCTCCGTTGACGGCTAAAAAAGATGCGTGCTCACCGATTCTCAACAGAATTTATCACGGAAACATAGAAGAGGTGACAAAAACCGCACTCGAAGGAGAATGGACGTCGGACAGGTATTATTCTCACCCCCCATATTCGTTCTCTCTACGCCTCCGTTCTTCCTTTTAGCAATATAACCGATCATTAGTTAGACCCCTCTATTCAAGAGAAGTGGTTTTTTTCTCTCTTTTTCTTAATTTATCATAAAACTGGTTAAACTTTGGTGTCGGAATAGAAAAAAGGCTTTGAAAAAAACCTATAATTTACCCTAAACTTCCATAATCATTGAACGATTTAAAGTTTTTTATTCCTCTAAACGACGTTAAAATCGCCCTTTGCTAAATTAAGAATACAATAAAAAAGTATTGAGCGCATTCTTGAAAGCGTTCCATTAGAGGATATAATATTTAGAAGACTTGTAGCTTTCAATGCACCCGCATCGAGTCGTAAATTGACTTTGACGTTTCGAAGGCGATTCGAACGGAATAGCAAGCATGCGGAAGAATGGATAAGATACGGATTAGAGATAAGAAGGAATCGATTTTGTTTACACGAAATACTGTTAGAACCATTTCTGAGAGATTTCATCCAAACACAGATAAAATAAATGCAAATTGTTAAGGTAAGATAGTATTTCCCTATCCCTGTGGGCCAAACTTTCCCAGATCCTTCTTCGCCCTCTTTGATAAAACAAACCTAATCCAAGGAACGAGAAGAGTTTTTAGCAAATTTGTATAGGAATTTGTTACTTTTACAACCGATAAAAGGGTTTTTCAACACCATATATAATCAGGCGTAATAACCGTTAGATCTATTCATTTGGATCTCAATTTAACCATTGATCTTTCGTTTAGTTTTCACTCAATAGATTTTATATATATATAGTATATAACAGTCTCCAGGATACAGCTATTGATAGATATATACTTTCTTTTAGTGGTTAGAATTTAAAAGTATAAAAAATAAATAAATAAACAGTGTGAAATATCAATCACAATCTGTTTTGGCACTTCAAAGGAAATTTCGTACGGCAAGGCGTCCACGGAACGATGAATCTCCGATAAGATAAAAAAATATTTTACTGTTACTTAATGTAACTGATATTTATTCCTTTTTTAAAACTCAATCAATTTAAAAAAAAGGGAACAGGAAGAGAGCAAGAGGCTGTCTCCGTTATCTTTGTTCAAGCGTAATTCATCTTCATACCCCAGATTTTCAAACAGAGAGCTCTCTTCAAGCATGAGGTTAAAGTTCATTGAACAATTAGGACAGTGAATGAAACGGATCGAAATTAATTTGAAATGTTTTCAGTTTATCTCGGTGAAAATGAGGTAATAAATCAGAAAATAGCAAATTATTTGCTAGAGGGCAATGACACCAGAGGGAGATATTTTCCAACTAGCTTTTCCTTTGACTAATTTTGCGTAAGGGTTAAAAGAAATAAAGAGGAGAGTAGGAGGAGAGAGAGAGAGAGAGAAGGATAGAGAGAAGAAACGAGTGAACAAATAGAGAACGAAAAAAAGTTAATTATCGTAAAAATAATAACTTTTATTCTAATTTCTGTATTTCTCTTTTCTTTCTATCTATCCATCTCCTTCTTTTGGCAGGATATTAATTTGCATTGTAATTATTAATTATTGACGAATTTGTATTACGTGACTATTAATTAACGGATACGGTATTTTACAGATGCGAAGTTCGTCCCGGTCCAGAATATCTAATGAGGAAGTATACTATATACCATGGTAACATTTTCACGGCAACCCAATTCTACTACGGCGACGTCTTTTGTACGCATCCTTTATTTAGTATTTCCGCTCAAGGATTCTTAAAAATATCAAAAAAGCAAATGATCTTAATCCCGGGAGCCTACAAGGGCATTTATCATTTAACCAAGGTCTCCGTTACTCCATTTACCGATGAGGTAGCAAAAAAGCTCTTTGAAATTGTTGATAGAACGTGCGACGAGAAGAGATGGCAATACTCAGATTGGCAAAGAGGCAAAACTATTGATATTCAAAGTCATCTAAAATACCATAATGAAATTTTGGATTTTGATTGTACTCACTCGTTCGACTTTTCTCTGAACGAATTGCAGCTCGTACGCATAGAAGAAGAGGTCAGAAAGCATAGAGTCTACCGTCGCCTTATGCTTGGAGAAATTCACACGGATAGGAATCAAAGAATAACTCATAGGCCTAGTGCATTTCAGATTGAACTCGTGCCTTCCGATGTAAGTATTAACTTTTCGTACATTTGCATTTATCTTCATAAATTAAAGTATAAAATTCTTTTCGACACTTACAAAATTCTAAATTCGAACCAAATAATCGCGAAAAATAGCATCAAAGAACCGCCAAACTCTGGCCTAGGTTTGCTTTGATCAGGCGCGTGCAATGCGATTTAATGATTGCCAGATTTAGCACGCGTTGTTTGTCCTGTTCTGGTGTTGGTTTAATGCTAATTAACTTGCGATTGATAACGGATTGAGGTTTCCTAGAGCCGTTGGATGTTTTTGTACAGCGTAATTTTCAGGTGTTTGTTTTCCCCTAACAGACCGGTCCTAGTCAAGATCATTAAATCTTTTATTGATTTTATCTTATTACATCTTCTAATAATAATACCAATAATAATTACATATAAATAATCATTGTTTATAAAATTTCAATTGGTGGATAGCGGGGTAAATGGACCATGAATTAGCGTACAAGTTTATATATCTCTTACGAATTCTCTCTCTCTCTCTCTCTCTCTCATTTTCGATTGCGTGATTCATAAACGAAAGAGTCTGGTTCCGTTTCTTGTTAGTGAGAAATTTTTTTCTTACTTCTTTTTTCTTTTAAAAAAAAGAAAAAACAAGTAAACGAGGAAGTACCATTGGTATTGTGTTTTTCTATCAAACTCTTTCTCGTATATGCTGGCAATTAACCGTTATAACTGGCCGTTATAGCTTAGCTTGGATAGGGGATAGAGTATTTAAGATGACCCCCTCCCCGCCTCCCGCCTTCTTTTCCTCAGTATTTGAGGTCGTCGGTACAACGCTTCGGAATTGCCTAGACTAATTAAAAATAATTTTTTATTTATAAAAAAGACCATTCAAGAGAGTGTCACCTGCCGCTTTTCTTTATTAGAATTCTATTAGACTAGGAATGATTTAATGGCAATAATAGGAAAGAAAATATGTTTACTACAATATAATTGGTCGGTTGACGCCTCCGACGAAAAAGGGAATAAGGAGAAATATGCAAAATACATTAAGTGAGAATACTCTCTTTAATCCTTTTACTGTTTTATTCAACACGTGCAAACATTTTACACCAAACATGGTGCCGACATACAATGAATCAAACTCTACCTGACCCCTAATGACCCAAGCGAACCGGGCGTGATTTTTATACGAAATCTTTACTTTTTATCTACTGCTTTACCTATCTATCTACCACAAGTTTTAACTTTAAATTTCTTGCAGACACACAAATGCGGAATTTGTAAAATGATTGCTAAATCAACAACTTTGAATCCTCCGTCCTTGCACTATCATATTATCAACACGGAAACTAATATACCATTAAAAGGAGAATGGTTTAGCGAAAGATGCGAATCCATGTCCTCATCTCATTTTTTAACAAGACGAATGATACTCAAGGATAATCAAAACTGGGAATCTTATTATCACTATTACTCAGATATCCTTTGTAGAGATGCGCTCTATACGATAACGACAAGTGGTACGTGGAAAGATAATGGCCCACACAAGCATATGACTGGAACAAGAAACTTGGTTTTTCACGCTAAACAAGCTACACTTAAGGTCGAAGATAAGAGAATTTGTAACAATCTGAATAGTGTGGCAGCGCCACCTTGCGGAATCCGCGGATCCTGGTTCGTTGGTAAAGAGCAAAAGTTAACCGAATCGAATGGTTGCCCAGCATTAGGTATTGTTCTACCGTATACTGTACACGAGATAGCGAGAATAAACCACAATAATCGACAAGTTCAATTGTTGTTTGGGGCTAGAAGAACAGATTTAGCAACGGAAAAGGAGGCTGATTATTTGCCAACTTCTTTTCAATCCCCTTTGGCCTTTTGCGGTCATTACATTCCCCGAATGGTAGATTCTCCTAATTCAGCGTTAAAAAAGTATAAATGGAAAGGTTTTGGAGTTGGTTCAACCTTAAAAATATCGTTTTCGATATTGACAATTTCCATCCTATTTTCAATTATAAACTTGTAAAAACAAAGCGAAAAAAAAAACAAATTACAACAACAAATCAACAAATAAATATATAAATAAACAAACAAACAATTAATCAATCAATCATCAGTCAATCGAATGATTTAACAGAAGAAAACTTAACTTAAAGACTATAAAAGAAGAAGAAAAAGGAAAAAATAGCACCTTGTCTCAATTTTTTGTGTGTGTTGTTTGATATACTTTTTGCTATTAATAGTTGTTTAGAACAAAGATAAAACAAACTAAAAGAATTCTCTTCTCTTTATTATCTTTCATCCTAATTTTGTCTTAACTTTAATTTACATTAGCCTCTCTCTCTCTATCTCTCTCTTTCTTTCCTTCCTTCTCTGCTTTCCATCTTTCAATGGTACTCTCAAGTAATCTATAGTTGAATATTGTTACAATCTATCAACTTAATTAATCTAATCAATTAATTAATTACACACTTCTCTTTGCCACTCTAAACGATCTTAACTAAGCACGGGGAAGGCTTTGTTTGGGATAGAGGTTTGGTGGGTTTTTCTCCATTTAAAAAATAAACTGACAACAGATGGCGCAAAAAATATACGTTAATATTTTCCTCTTGTAAGGATCAGAAAGTAAGACGTTTGCAGTGATAGAGCGTGATTTATCGAAAAAACTCTCTTATAACGTCATTAAGCAGATAGTTGTTCGATAATGTAAATATTTCAAGCCTATGAACGGAAAACGATAGCACGCAGTCAGATCAAGAGCGCCCATATTCCTGTATTAATGCAATTTCTTGATAAATGGAGTCTTTAATCACCTTTAGTCTGTACGGTGTGAAAGAGTAAAATACTCACCCCGCAAGAATATTCTATATATTCAATAGAAAGAAAAATATCTTTGATATGCTTTCAAAAAGCACCTCATAGACCTCTGAAAGTATTCTCTTCCTCATTTCTCTAAGTAGAAGGGCGAATCTTTATACATTTCACAACCAAACAAAACTAAAAGTTACTAATAAAAAGAAGAGTGAAATTACCATTCATTCTTTGATTATTACAGTTTTATTTCCATTTTTAGATAGGAAGAGTAGGGAAGGGAGGGGAATACGAAGAAGAGAAGACTCGTGTAAATAAGAAGTAATGAGAATGGAAACAATTTCTTTTTAACTAGTTAAAATTTGGTGAAAAGTAGAAGAGAAAGGAAAGAGATAAGAAAGTATTGTATAAGAAATTGCCTATATATAATATTTATTATCCTCTCTTCTTCTTGTTTATTTTCTTTTATCTATATCTAAATAAAATAAAAAATATAAAAAAAAGGTGCTTGGATTTTCTTTTTACTTATTTATTGTAATTAATTCATTTTCTTATCTCTCTCTCTCTTTTTCTTTCTATCTCCATCACTCTCTACAACATTACATTTCATTTATTAAGTGTAATTCGTCTACTTTCTTGACCTTTCCCTTGTTTAAATGCAGAAATGTAATGTTCACTTCAGATGAGGAAGGAAGCTAAATTTAAACAAATTATGTATTACTTTAGCGCCACCTGTTACTGAAAACACTCGTTTTTTCTCAGGTTGATAACATTGTGTCTTAGATAATGGTTTGAAATTCGCTCTAAATAGAGATGCATGTATAAATAGACTGAACATTATTTTTGCCGATTCATACTTCAATAAAGGAGAGAAAGGGAACAAGATGAAAATTGTTTATTTCATTAGTTTTGCCCTTTTCGCTGCTGTTTACTCAACAGTGGATGAGAACTTGGCAAGGTATGAACATTATTTCATTCCAATTTCCCTTCCCTTAAAGATTCATATTATTCAATACAAAATTAACTAAAAAGCCTATTAATAGAAATTATGCTTGCGTAACTTTTGTAACGATGTCACTACATTAGTAAAATATATTGAATATTCATAAGATTATACTATACTAGGCAATTTTAATGAAATTTATGTATTTACATCTTTTTTTGACTGTAGCTTGATTCATTCCATTATTCTGTTTTATAGTTTCAGCTATAATAAACTTTTAATATCAGTTTCAAGCATAAAATCTACAATTTTTCACTGTAAAAGGCAATAATATCTATATAATATGCCAAAATGAATCTAGTAGTCTTCCTAAACTTAATGGAAGCTAAAGAAATCGAAGGATAAAGAGAGTAGAGTTTCTGTTATCTATTTGTGTCCTGTTTTAATTTACGACGCACAAATGCTATAAATGAATAATTTACTATTAAGAAATCTGATAAATCTGATAATGAAAGATCAAATGTGCTAAGAAGAAACTAGCAAAATAAATGGATTGGAGAAAAACAGAAAAGAGACGCCTCAGCGTCTACTGCCATTATATTTTTTATTTAAATATGACAAAAATATTAACAATAACAATGACAGTAGTAGAATGAAAATAGTCTGTATTGGTCATACTATTTAATAACGACATGTTATAACTAATAAAGAAGAGCGATATACGGGCAAAAGTTTTGCATCAGATGTTTAAAACTCATTTAGCCCATTAAAAAGTATTAAGAGTCAGGCACGCTTTTGTTTACCTCCAAATTACCTTAATAGGCCAACAGAAAATAGCGTACTGTCATAACTGATACTCTTCAATTTCTTTCTTAGTCATCACATTCTGAAAATTATTCCATCTTCGGAAGATCATCTTCATTTTCTACGCCAATTAAAGGATGAGGCTGACTTTTGGAATGATGTTGGAAAAGTTGGACAACCAGTTCTCCTTCATGTCAATCCCGAAAATGAAAAAATTCTTTCAGAAATGCTAACACAGATGGAAGTTCCTTTTTCCATTGACGAAGAAACTGTAGAAATGAAGCTCAAATCCTTTTTTAAGAGTCATCACGCTTCTAGAACTACCGAAAATGTGAAGGATTACGATTTTGATAGATATTTAGAATACGACGAGGTTTGAATACAAATTGATCATAATTAGAAAAGTATATACTTATACTCTGTAACAAATAATTCAACAGATTGAACAGTGGTTGGTCAACACTGTGGCAAAATGTACTAATAATCTGGCTTGTAGCCTTGTCAATATTGGAAAAACTTACGAAAATAGAGATATGTGGGTTTTAAAAGTCAGTATATTTATCGCTGATACTCTTATAATAGATAATCATTCTTCTACCGTCGTCCTTTTCGTAATTCTAGGTAGGAAAGACTGTTCCAAATGAGAAAAAGATATGGATTGATGGTGGAATTCATGCTAGAGAATGGGTTGCCCCTTCAACCGTTATATATACTATTAATGAGTTAATTGATGGTTACTTGAATAATGATCAAGACACTTTAAAGATATTTGAAAAATATGACTTTTACTTTCTACCCGTTGTTAATCCTGACGGTTACGTTCACTCTCATTCATCGGTTGGTATTTTTAGAAATTGATGGTCTACAAGTTTTAGCATATAATATACATATATACAATACAATGTATATAGTGGAATGTTTCGTCGTTTATACTTATTAGTTTATTTAATAATTTTAGCCGCTGGAGCGTTTATGGAGAAAAAATCGGAAACCTATTGCAGGTTCCACTTGCGTTGGAGTTGATCTTAACCGAAATTTTAACCACATGTGGGGTAAGTAACAAATTGAGCCCCTCTTTCTCATTTCTAAATCGTTCATTAATCATGTTTAAAGGAGAATTTGGCTGCTCTCTGAATCCTTGCAGTCAAACCTTTTGTGGCACGGGACCACTATCAGAAATTGAAGCCAAAAATTTGAATGATTATATAATGGGATTAGGCGGTGGAAGTATTTTTGATGTATTCATTACCATGCATTCCTATAGCCAGTTATGGATGAGTCCTTGGGGATATACAGTTGACATACCAGAAGATCACGACGACTTGGTTAGTATTTTTTCCATTTTCCAGCGAAAAATTTTTTATCTCGTATTGGTAATTGATTTACAGATCGAAGCGGGAAATATAGCAGCCGCCGCCCTCTTTGATGTTCATGGAACAGTATATACAGTTGGACCAGCATCGCACATCTTATGTAAGTTTTAGTATCAAAGTTGATACCATTGTAGTTGTTGTATAAACGTACGATAAACATCCTAGATACATCAAGTGGTACTTCGCGTGATTGGGCAAAGGGTATACCAAAAATAAAATACGTCTACACAATAGAACTCAGAGATAGGGGAACCCACGGATTTCTCCTTCCCCCAGAGCAAATCCTTCCAACAGGTGAAGAAACTTGGGCTGGTTTGAAAGCTATGTTCTTGCATATCATTGAAAAACAAGGAAATAAGAGTTAAATTTGTAAAAAAAAAAAAAATACACAAAGAAACGAAATTTACGTTTTTCGAGTCAAGTTGAATGTTGTAAAAATGAAAACAAGAAAAAAAACACAATCAAACAAGTCAGATAATACCAATTCTCTCTCTCTCTCTCTCTCTCTCTCTCTCTCTACCGCCCACTCCTCCCTGTTCGCTCCCTCCCCCTCCCTTCAAAAAGCAAAATATTCCCATATACGTTTAAATACATACCAAGTGAATATTTTTGTTGTTTAACTTATAAATAAATAAATAAATAGAAAAATAAATAAATAACAAAGCAAGCAAATGCCATCAATTAAAGTTGGATTGGTAACTGCTCTAATTGTTCAACAGTTTATTGTAGGATGCATTCATTGGTTCATTTCAGTAGGAAAAGTTTAGCAGAACAAATGATGAGTCAGCAGAATCATATATGAAATGTATAATGTAAATAATTATAATTCCAGACAGTCTTATCCTTTGAATTAAGTATTGTTAAATTAAGGAAATGAAAATCGGAGAGAAAGAGAAGAGAATGAAATGAATGAAGGAGGCAAAGAGTTTTCCACTAGAGTCGCATGAAAGAAAATACAACAGAAAGGATGAAAAGAATATTTGTAATGTAGAGTATATAAATAAGTCGTAAAGTTTCGTCTCCTAATTACTTTGCCAGGCGGTGAAAGTTTCGTCTTGGGTGCCAACATTTGTGGTTAGACGAGCTCAGTGAAAAGTTTGTTAAATCGTTCAAATTGAATTGGTAACGTTTCGAAAACGTTTCTGCACATCAATTACGTAATTTACTTGGCGATAAGTTAAAAATGATGTTGGCAAAATAGGAAAACAGTCTGTAAAAAGAATAGATGTAAAAAACAGTTTTAATTTTCCCCTCTACTCAGACAATAAACGTTGAATAGATTACAAACAATTCTAATTGAATTAGAACAGTATTTTAGCCAATTCCATATTTTTTATTATATAATATTGCAGTATTACAGTAGATTATTTATTTATTTTTTGCAGTCTATTGAAAAATACTATTTATATTTAAAAATATATAAAAATTCTTTTTATAAAAAAATCAATCCATCTCTTCCATTTCTCGTTTCTATTATTTTAAATATTTTGGTCACGACTGACACGTCCGACATTCCGTCACTTTTAATGATATCTATCTCTCTTCCTTCTTCCTATCTATTGCCTACTAGTCCAATTAGCAAATTGTATTTACCTATTGGAAAAAGAACAGAAAGGTAAATTCTATCGGCTGTATAGCCATTTGTTTCTAATTGACAAAAATGATAGGAAAGAGGCCTGTATGGCGTTAGGTCGGATAGTTGTTTTTTCTCTTTAGGTAAGCTTTTCGCCAATTGTCTATGTCAGCGGAAAGATAACCGCACTTGACTGACTATGGGATCCTCTCCGTTATTCTGACAATACGTGTGTTGCCATCTATCCCCCCGAAAAGGAATTAAATATAGACGCTTTAGTTTGAAAAGGTGACAGGAAAGGTAGATATTTTACGCTACAGTTTGAACTATCATTAAAGGGCAAGTAAAAAGGGGGGAGGGAAAGGCGTCTGTTTCGTTTAATCATTCAATTTCCTTGATATATCTGATCATTAAAGACATAAAGGATAGTTTTCTTTCGATAGTCTATTATTATTGTAGCGGAATTGCGCTATTTATAGTGAATTCAACAATAAAAGTGCGATTATGGCTATTTGTACAAAACGACTTTAGCGAGAATCGCCCTCGTAAAATAGAGATAGGTTAAACTAGAACGAATATAACTGTTTTCTTTTCTTCTCTTATGTTATTACAGCTGTATATATGCCTTATTTAGCCGTTTATACCTTATGAATATTAATAATATTCATAGTTAATTTGAATATTAATTTGAATGAGAATAACTGAATAAAGTAAATTGAAAAGAGGAAAAGAAAATTACTGCGAATATAAAAGATAAAGAGAAGTTTTTCGAAAGAAAATAAAGAATAATTTAAACGATATAAGAATGAAAATCAACTGCTCACTAGGCCTACCGAAACAATCCATAGCAACTTTATAAACAAATCGATAAGCAGAGAAATGAGAGTATAAGACTAGAACTAATTATTTATCAATTGTTCCCCAACCGATTCCCTTGTCGTCGTTCAACAGTTAAACAATAATGGAACTAAACGTTTTAGATCGTTTGAAAGAGGATGATGACATTGTTCAAAATTTAAAGGTTAAAACGTTCAATAAATCAGAAATCCGACTGAAAAAGGAGGTAAATGGAGCTGATAGCATTGGCAATTTATTGTTTTTAGCAACTTCAAACGGGTGCTCTGTTTACAGGTGAAGTTTTAATTTCTAATTAGATTAACCGATTTAAGATAATCCATAATAAAGTACAGTTGTTGAACATTTTCATTTAATGCAAACTCTGCATTATCCAATAATAATCGTATAGGCGTCTGTATTACTTGTATTTATATACTTTTTATATTAATATTCAGACACGTTTCTCTATTTAAATAGTGGAATGAGAATGAGAATGAATGTAGAATAATAAATTTTCACTTTTTTAGGTATGATAAAGACTCTCTATACGAATTTATAACGTTAGAAAGGGATAAAAAATGCTTGGACGCGATTTGCTGCACTAATTATCTCGTTATAGTGATAATGGTAATAGATAATAATTGAATAATAATAATAATATCCAACTAATAGATCCATTGAAAATATCAGTACATTTACATATCTCTGTTTTGCAGCTAAACGAAGCGCTAAGTCTGCAATTTTATAGGATAGAAGATATCTTGAATAAAATTGTTACAAAGTCATATAGCAGCATTGAAATTGCTAAGACTGGTCCACTGGCTATAGACGATAAGAACGATAGGGTTTTTATAGGTAAATATTAATTCTTTGACGCATAACAGGTAAAATAAATTGGATAGTAGAAGAGTAACCGAGTAAATACGTTTTTGTAAATATAAAGTATTACGGCAAAAAGGAATTATTCAACTTTACTTAAAGTAGTTAGTCGAGACACGCTTAGAGCAAAGAGGTTAGCGGGTATTCTTTCACTTTTGTGTATTTAGTATAGAAAAAACATTTGTTCGATAGTATCTCATGAATATTCTAATAAACACATTTACTTTGGTTTTATTAGATAAGTGGGCAAGGTTTCTTTTATATCTGATTAATTATTGAATAGAAAGTACACGTGTGCGTGTCTGTTTATGCGTCAAGTTACTCTGATACAATTACTCTACCTCTAATAATTATCCATAGCTGGAACTTTATGGAGCGGCTCGTGGTCTTCTAACGAACGCAATTCGACGTCCAACGAGTGCTTGGAGAGGCTGGTAAGAGTTTATAGGATTGAAACAATGGAGTTGGAAGAAAAGTTTGAAGCAGTTAAAAATAGAATAAAACTGTTAAGAATCGATGGCAATCAAATTGCCATTGCAGATAATTTGCACGGTGTTAGAATATTTTGCACAAATTCGTTAAAGTTATTATACGAAATTGAAGTTGATGAAATAAGAAATATCATTCTTGTAGGAGATTATTTAGCCGTCTTCCATAAATTCGAATCAAACGTTTCATTATGGAATTCGCAGGAAAAAAAGACTATACTTTGTCTTAACATACAAGATCAAGTTAAAGAGCTGCTTGACGACGACGATGCCGATATTCTCCTTGATGAGGATACGGAGACGAGCGTTATAAATTTACCGTACGAGGATAGCGGTCTATTACTATACGCTACGAGAACTGGTAACGTTTTCGGAATGATTGTTAATAGTAGATATAAATTATTTAGCATATCGAGTCCATTTTCGGAAGAAGAAGAGAAATATGGATTAAAAACCTTATGTTACATTCACCCTGGTTTGATTGTGCTTGTCTCCAAGAGTTTAGTTGTACTCGATTTTAATCTCCCAAAATAAAGACAAAAGATAAAGAACAAATAGTTTTTTTTTATAAATCCTTTACAATTATATCCTTTTCTTATTTGATCTGTTTTGTTTGTTGTTTGTTTTTTGTTTGTTTGTTTGTTTGTTTGTTTATTTCCTTAATTCATTTTATTTTAATACTTTTTTATTGAATCTAACAAATTTTGCACCGCAGATTTCCTATGATTCTCCCAGTTTATTTCAACTTGTAGGTTTGCTTGTAAACGATCGTTGGAAGGATATGGTCTTATTTGCTCCCTTAAATATCTCTTTATGTGCTCGTCCATGTGCTTTTGAAAAAAGTGACGCCCTATCATAATTAATTCCGCTCCGTTGCTCACCAAAGTTACAGACACCTTGGGGTCGTCTGTCCTTTGTTCATTTTCCAATTCAATATTCTCCAAACCCTATTCGACGCAAATTCAAAACATTTGTTTTAACCTTTGTTCACTATTAGTTATTAAAGAATACTAACAAAGGCGTCTCCTGGTCTGAGTTTTTTCAATTGAACAACTACTGTTGCGTCATCGTCGGCTCGTTCAAGGGGAACCCATATCATGTTACTTGGTATTTTTTCATCGAATTCCGAAACGAATTTATAATGTTTACCAGAACTCATTCCAATTTTAGTATGCCCCGATCTACTTCCGCCTGGTCGATTTTGTGAAAATTTACTATTAGACATTCCAGGTTGAGTAGAGTTGGAACTTAGGTTTATATCAGGCGCCGTATCAGGTCTGACTTTAAAATTTGAGGAAAAACTCCCTTCCCTAGAGGTTTCACTTTCGTCAAGCTTATTTAAGAATACATCAATATTGCATAATTTTGACTTTCTAGCAGTATTACAAGTTTTACTGGAGGACAGTCTACTATCAATTCTTGGACCTGTTAGAAATAATAATACATTATTGCGCAATTGGAATTTTCCTTTAAGATTTTCTTTTTTCGTTTCCCAAGTTTTCACTTGTAGAAAGGAAAGAGAAAGTAAAACACAACGATTCTGTTGATAATATCTTTTTCCAATATATCAACAAGACAACAACAAAATACAATCAGCATCGCCTTTAATTATAAATCAAGTAGGAAAGAAAAAAGGCTTGATTTAAAGGAGATAAAGGAGAGAATGAAGAGGAGTATGCAATGAAAAATTCCTGCAACAGCGGGACGTAAACAACATAAAACATTCACATATTTTACCAATCATTTTCGGCTCTATTACTTTATGCAAATGAATTAATAATTAATAAATTAGTTAACATATATTGCTATGGTAATAAATTATTTAAATAGATAGTTTTATGAATAGAAAGATATAGAGAATGAGAATTTATATTACGTTGTTCTGCAATGCCCAAGCGAGGAAGGAAAAGTTGACTACTTGACGGCGGAATTTGTTTAACAATTTTTGGCTTTGCCGCCATTAAATTTTTCATTACAACGCAATTTCCCTACAAAATAGAAAAGGTTATATTTTAAGAAATGGCGTCGATTATTTATGTTTCATACAGATTTCACTAAGATAACAAATTCATTCTTTAAACTGTCGGGAACCACTACTGTTCCTCTTTTAAAATAATGAAAAATGCACTCTTTAGGATGCTCCATCATTAGATGAATTGGCCATGTTTTCATCCACGATATAGTTCTGCAGAATTTTAAATGCTCCGGTTCGTTATCGTCTTTTGATGAGTAAAATATATCTAAGAAATCATCTCGTGCTATAACTAATAAATTCATTTTAGAGACGCTTTCGATGCTAGCAGTTCTTTTTGAATGATGAAGTAGAGCAACTTCGCCAAAACTCTGACCTCTAACTAAACGCCCAACAGTCTCGTTCTCGTATCCGTACGGGCCCAACTTTTTCTTAGTCACAGCAGCAACCCCTGAGAGGATAAAATAAAAATTCTCTGCCGAATGACCCTCCTTTAAGATGAGACGTTTAGGCGTCACTCTGTTCAAATAGTGAAAATAATTTGTTTCATACAGACATTCAGACAACTGAAAGATATAAACAGAAAGAAACATAGATGTATAGATGGATAGATAGAGAGAAAAAAGAATGAGAATAGTGATAGATTTTTGCAGGAGTAAGCTTATTTGAATTTATATATATATATATATATATATATATATGTCCATTCTCAGCTTGTTCTCAATAGTTAATCTCTTTAAACTATAAGAAGACAATCTTATTGTATTGAGTAGCACAATTCATAGATTAATATTATGAAAACTACAGTTTATTACTACTGTTATTAAGTGTATAACAACATTCAATAGTTAATTTTTTTATGGGTTTTCTACTTACTCCATAAACCAGGCTACCCTTGCTAGACGTTCTTGTAAATGCAAAGGATAATCCGAATAGGCGTCTAGCCTTTGTAAACCGTGTAATATTCTTTGAATCATTTCAGGTGTTCTAGCGTTAGATATTAAAGTGAGAGCGTATTTAACGTCGTATGGTAATGAGATCTCTTTTTTAGCTTGAAAATATTTAGGATCAAACTCAAGCTTATTCTCTTCCATAGATTTATAAGTAGTCTGCTCTTCCAGCTCATTGGCAAGATCGTAAAAAGTTCGAACCTGCCTTTCTAATTTTCTCTTGAACCTATACAAAAAAAAACATTGTTCTTTTCTCTCTTCTCTTCAACAGTTGATAATTTATTGAAAGATATTCCTTTGTTTAAAAGGAAAGTATCTTTAAAAGGTCTTAAAGCCTCTCCTTAATATATACATAATATATTACATTATTGAATAGCTAGCTTAAGCAGTTAATAAAAGTTTGGGAGTGACTTTTCCTTCTCCTTCAAACTTCATATTCATTAATTTACAACGGTACTTACAAGAAAAGTAATACTCTACTTACTGCATGATTATCTGCATCCACGTGTGACATATTATCACTCTCCTAGCAGTTTTATATATGAAGGTAAACGCCTATGTTATTTTAATAAAGGATAATTAATTAGTTTACAGTTATCCGAGAAGGGAACGTAAATTGTTATTATTTACCTGATCCTGATCGGCGAATAATCCGACGTATTGACTCTCTACTTCATTCCTTGGAGGATTCGCCTGCTTTGATATATTATGGTAAAAAGAACTTTTGGCGGCTGCTGGTCTAGTATTATTTTTTGGAGTTCTAGGTACATCTTCAACAGTTGGAGTAAATAGCCTCGATCCTGGGCGAGATATTGGTGTACGAGAAGCACTCCGGTATTCCATGGTCTTTCAACGCTTACTGTTTACATATTTCGCTCTGCGTTACTACGGATTAGGATCAATAGAATCTTCGACTGTAGCTGGATTAATCTCTCGTAATATCTATTCACTTTATGATTGTTTAATAAATGTTCAGTGCGTTCAACCCACAAGCGCGATGAAGATTTAAGAATAAAGACTACAAGTGCGAAAAGGTTTATTATTATCAATACAGTATGTATATTAATTTTAGATTAATATCTAATAATTGATAATCTACATAATCTAGCGGACATTTTATTCTATTCTTTATTCATATTCTTGCTATAGTTTTACCGAGACTGTATGTCTCTGTTTGTCTGTATCTCTTTCTCTCTCTCTCTCTCGCTGTATAAATTTATACTATATATTATATTCCTTCCTAATAAGAGAGCGCGGCAAACTAGAGAGGAAAGGGGAATCGGCAATCATGATTGGCCTAAGGTCTTTTCTCTCTCTGAGAACAAACTGGTCTTCGGGAAAAGAGAATAAAAACAGAATATAGAGAGACGCCTTTGGAGTTTATAGGATGAAAAAATTAGAGTAAACAACTTTCATTCTAATAATTTTTTAATATTTATCGATCACCTCGAATATTAGGCATTTTCAATACACTTTTCAAAGAACGCCACCTACGGGCCTAACGAAACACTCTGGTTCCTATTGAAAGAATGTGAATCTATTTTTTTTGTACACGGAAATATGTCAAAGATTGACTGTACCGCAACAATTATAAAATTATTGTTATTCTTCTCTAACGTCTTCTTTTGGATTGTAGGAATTCTGGTAATTGGATTTGGTATTTGGGTCATTCAGCAAGAAAGCGAACTTTTGGGTGACAATGCTGATACAGAAGTGTATAAAATTGTTTATTCAGTAACAATTGTGATAATATTGGTCGGGGTGATTGTTTTCATAGTTGCTTTCGTTGGATGTATTGGTACGATAAGAGAGAATATAACTATATTAAACGTCTTCATCGGTCTTCTTATTGCCGAAGTTGTTGTTGAATTAAGTCTGATTGTTGTAGGATTTTCTCTATATGAAACAATTAAGGATGAAGTGATTGATAGTTTAAAAGATACCTTGGTATATTATCTAGATTCGCCGTCAATAAGAGATTTAATTGATACATTTCAACAAGCAGTAAGTAATACAATTCGCTTTTCTATTCTTCTATCAATAAGACACAATTAAATTGAAACAACCTACGCATAGGGAAATTCAATACTCATACTTGAATAAATTCAAGTTTCGGCTAAGATCCTAACGGCAATCTGTTAGTCTTTTTTCTCTCTATTTAAGAAATATACTATGTATATTTAGTTCAAAGGTATTATTCAAAAAATTTTGGGATAGGTCTTTAAAATATAGATTTAATCACTTTTTTTCGGCCTATAAATCAACTTTATGCTATTTTTTAAATTTTATTTAATAATAGCCTAGACATAATCGTAAAATCTTCCTAAAATACAATTCTCTACCAGTCTCCTTTTATGATCTAAGTGTTGTTCCCTTTTTATTTTTTCTATAGTTTCTATGCTGCGGTGTTTCAACAAAAGGCTATAAGGACTGGAAAGTCAACGAATACTACGGCTGTAAAGAAAATAATCCATTCTACCTGGCTTGTAGTGTACCGTGGACATGTTGTATTGGAGCTAAAGATGACCAAGAAACCATGATAAATAGAATGTGCGGAAAAGGAGTTCTTGAAGATAAGTCAGAGAATATTGGAGCTATTTACACAGAAGGTTGCATTGATGCCGTTCATAATAAATTAAAATCAAATCTCTCAATTGTTCTTGGCATGGTTACTGGAGTTTTCTTTCTGCAGATAATTGGAATATTTTTAGCATTCCTGCTCAGAGTAACTATCAAGAGTAATCAATCTGAAATCAATCGACCAACGAATAATTCTGAAGAAGACAATGAATAAAACTAACTGAAATGTTTTTTAAGGTGCTTATTACGCGGAAGAGAAGAGACTATTGATAAAAAAATTTTCTCACTACTTCTCTTTTAATTCTCCTTGTTCTTTCGTACGAATGAGTAATTAGAAATAAAGATAGTAATTGGAGGAAATTTCTCCAAATCATTCACTTCAAATATACCTTACAGTTTCAACTAAGATTTAATCAAGAAAGGCAGCGTTCTCTTCGTCTACTAAACATATTTGATAACGAATGTTTTGTTTTGAATAGTCAATAAATGAGCTATTTTCCCATTCAAATTCAATTTTTAAAAAGACTTATCTTTAATCAAAGAAAAGAGAAATAATACAAAACAATAAAACAATATAATTTCTAATTCGTCGTAATTTAAAAGAAATATTTAAAAAGAAAGTTGTTAAAAACGATAAAATGAAGGTTAGAATGTTTCCAGTTTCTTTCCCTATCTTCCGTTTACGCGTAATGATGATGGTGAACCTGGTAAAATCGGAGACACTGGAGGGGAATTCTGACCATTTTCACCTTTCACCTAATTAAATAAAAACAGCAACGTTTTAATTCACCATTATTCTCTTCTTTGACTATTTGCTTTGGTACTACGAAGTATACACTCGCTAGATGTCACTACTCGTCTCACAAAATGAAATACAAAATACAGTACATACCTCGATATAGCCTTGAAGTAAGCCATCTAATTTAAGTTTCGCCTCCAAATGCTTTCTATTTAGTTCTTCTAATTGTTTTTGAATGTATTCATGAGAGGCGTCAACTTCGTCGGGTATGATTGCAACACTTTCTATACTTTTATCGCCATCCAAGTGAGATGTTGAAGAAATAGTTGTTTTTAATTGATCATACGAATCCATTAAATCTGTATAAATTATACAGTAGAAATGTTCAAATATAAAGTGATTTCGGCTCTATTCAGCAATAAACGTAGAACTATACACAGAATGTGCATTATTATTATTATTGCTGTTATTGTTTTGTTGTTGTAAGACTTGCCTAAAGGATTTCCACGTTGAATATTCTATTAAAGAAAAACAAATCAATGAAAGAGTTCACTAGAAAGAGATTTCTTTATAGTTAATTATTTTTACCTGGCTTTCAATCATTCTCCTATTACGTTCTGAGTGAATTGCTTCCTCTTCTCTTTCCTCTTCTCTTCTTTCCAGTGTTTTCATTTCTCTGACGTTTTCTTCTCCCTTTTCGCTGTAGCCCCCTCTTTCCGAGCTATGTTCAGAGTTCTTTTCGGGAGTAAAGCATTACGATTATTCAAATTTTTACAGTAAAACCAACAACTACCTTTGTTTGAAAAGTTTTTAACGCTATCTTAACTCTATTCTCGTTGGCGACCATATCCTTTTTTAAAGGGTATAAACACATTGAAAAATAATTATGTAAGTAACAATTGTAACTTGTTAAAAGTTATAGTTAAAAATAATAAACCAACAGCTGCTAAAACATTAACTAAACAATTTAGACGTTCAACTTTGCTCTCCAATTCCTCCCTTTTCAATGCCTCAACGGCGGCCCGTTTTTCACTTTCTCTGGCGCATTGAGCTAATTTCGTTACGGCATCAACGAGCATTAAAATTTCCTCTTTAGAATTCTTATGACATTCACAAGTACACGAAGCGTTCTCGGCCGTCTCTTTGATCTTTAGCCGAAAAGTGTTACATTGCAATAATACGAGAAAAATAACAAAGGAAAATTTTAATACCTCCTCTCTAGTATCCTCTCTTCCCTCGCTCTTAACAGAACTTTCAACAACGGCTGTATCATTAACAGTATTGATTAACGTTGATCTGTTTAGACTGGAGAAGCTCGTCTCCCAATCTTCACCTGCAATTAACAGTAAAGAATAGAAGCAAAAGAAGATGTTTATTCGATTAGTACATAGAAATTTCTTGTCAAAATACTAACTGGCCATATCAGCTTTCGCTCGATTTTCATTTAATATATGTTTATATTGTTCCAAATCATTGCTTACATTATCTATGTTAATATAAAATTACATACAAATATATACAACTGTTTTATTACTTCTTTTATTCTATTTACCATTCAATCTATCCAAAGAGTTCTTACTCATTATTGAATCGCTAAGAGCGTCTAATTTTGATAATTCTACTACTTCCGTTCCATCTGGTAAGAGAGACCTAAAATTTATAAAGAAGATTAATTAATAAATTTCTATTTGGTGTTAAGCGTTTAAAAGACTGTTCAAAATATAAAGTTGTTTAAAAGTATTATACAGTATTCTGAATCTATTCAACTTACTGGTCATTTTTTAAAATCCGTTTAGGCGCAACTGTAACGCTTGGTATACCAAAAAATTTCTAGCAAAAGAGAGACATTTCAGACTATTTTATAGAGATTTCAATACAATTAATTCCAAAAGTAAAATTACCTTTGGATCATCTCCGAACATGTCTTTAACAACCGCCAAAGTCTTATCACACTCGGCCAAGGTTTCGGAAAGCTGCAATCAAATGATTGAAAATATCAAGATACCAAATATCTTTATACTGGATATAAATTTATAACCGTATGGCTTACCTGACTGTTATCCAAGTATACTTTATGTATTGCTGATTTCTTTGATTTATCTTGTTCTTTTTTCGAATTTTTCTGTTCATTTACTATTTTTTTTCGAGAAAAAGAAAAGGACAAAAAGACTTTTTTACTATATTCATTAATTGATTTTAATAATCCTTCTTACATTCTCTTAATCTTAGTGATAAAAGATCAAATTTTGCGGATTCTGCGTTCTTTGATTTATGAGACTCTTTTCGACGAATCTAAACATAAATTTCAAATATGTTAGCTTAAAAACTAGCAGATTAATTAACTAATTAATTAATTAAAGGAATATTTACAATATCATCTGTACTGGCTTTGTAGACGTTCAAATCGTTAATTGTTGACTGTATCGTTGGTTTGTAATAGTAAAAAATATATTATTAACAGAAATTTGAAGTTATAATCAACACTTACATCCCACTCGGGTTTTAACTTCTTTTTCGATTTTGGCTTTAATTTTGTCTTTCTTTGGACAAACATTCTCTACTAAAGACAGAACAGGTTTGATCACGTCCAAGGTAAAAAATATATCTATTTATTTATATATGTTCAATAGACGAAACAGTGATTATTGCGATATATAATTAATTTATAATACTATCGAATTGTTTAAATATATAATTTCCAGAGAAATCTCTCGTTTTTAACAAGTTAAGAACTAACGTTATTTGAAAATTTGACTATTGGAATAAAGGAACTAAACGAATTTGCTTTTTGTTTCTTTACCTAATATTATTCCCGCATTTTATAGTGTCCATAAGATTTCTATAAAAAATGATAAAGACTACCGGTAGATGGCGTTATATATAGAGAATACATATGGATATATAGTTGTTTGGTACTAGGCGCTATCGATAGGTGGCTGAAAGGTAAAGTGTGTAAAAGGCGTGTAATTGACCAATCGTGCTGTAACAGTTAACATAAAGTATTAAGAGTTGAAAAAGTATTAATCTTTGAGGCGGAAATTGACACTAAAAACGTGTCTAAAGAGAAAGTTAATCATTTGTTAAAACACGGCAAATCGTTAATAAGACGATAGAAAACCTTTTTATTACGTAATTGTAATGTTTATTATTTTATTTACTCCAAAAGATTTTAAAGGCCTAAGGAGCAGGAATGTTGTTTAGTGAGAAGAGCGAGTGGGTAGGCTAGGCGGAGGAAAAAACGCCTTTTAAAAAGTTACCAAAAGAAATGAAGTGGAAGTTGGAGAGAGAGAGACAAGTAGACAGTGACAGTGACAGACATACAGAGATAGAGACAGACACACACAGAGAAAGAAAGATATAAACTAAACTACTAGCAGTTATGCAGAGACCTTTTAAAAAATATTAAAATCTATTTGTCTTGTGGATGAGAAGGGCATTTGCTAAGAATTCAAAAGGAAGGATAAGAAGGGAGTTCTAAGGAAGAAAAGTATTAGAGTAACAAGTTGCTTAAATATCGGTAATTCTTTCAGCTGATACTCGAGTGTTGTACGAAGATAGATAGAGTATGCTTTATATATTAAATATTGCAATTATCTTCAAAGAGTCTGCGGCTAAGTAAAGCAATACGGAATTGCAAATTCAATTCATTTTAAAGTAATCTCATATCATTTTTATTTTATATAGACAAGACATAAAAACTAATCCATGAAACAAACAATCACCAAAGAGAAACGGTTGGGACGTCAATGATCAAACATAATATTCATCTTATGGAAAAATGATTGCCTGACAAAGAACATCCTGTTTGTAGCGAGACCGTTTGATTGTTTGTCACCGCTTTCCTTCTGACGCAGCTGAAATCTTCCTATAACCTAATGCAGTTATGTAATAGGCGTGAAAGAACGTTTATGCTTAGATATTTCGCACGTTCGGTGTTATGCAACGATAGAAAACAATCGAATTAGGTAATTATTTAATTTCATTGCAGGCGTTACGCGTCTCTTCATTCAACTAAGAATCGTCTATTATGAGGGAAATAAGGAGGAAGACGGTAATTTCAGGTTGTAACTATCGCTAGGCGACTTACTTAGGTGTTTTAGGAATGTCGTGTAGAGTTCTCTCTATCTCTCCCTCCGTCTCTTTCTATCCATCTCTCAACACCGTCTTTTTTGTCTCGGATAAAAGATTTGAAATTGTCACCTGAACAGCTAATTCCTTTGCTATTTTCTCTCTTTCAAATCAGAAAAAAATGACGCCATATTGTGAAATTCGTGCCGGTCTAAAAAATATGGTACAGGTGGGAGAGATGTAACCTTTACCACTGATAAACTAATCGGTAATCAAGGTCAGATTGGTCAAGGATCTATCATTTTTGTTCCCCTGGGTCATTTTAAGGTTGTAAGTAGTTATAGAAAGTTTAAACAGCATCTATTAGTGAAATATTGCCTTAAGAAGTATTTTTATTAGACCTAGGTCTTTCTTCTGTATTTTGGCGTCAATAAAATTAGCATGAGGTCTAAATATTGCCAATTTCTGTCCGATAGTTTATCTGGGGTGGACTGACCAAGGAGCAAGGGGGGCAATTTCCACCTGGGTATTAACCCCCAGGGCTTTTTAACCGGTTCTTTTTTCCGTAATAGGAAAGGAAAAAAAAATCTTTGTGAACTATTTTAACGACGCAATAACTTTTTATTTCCTTTGCATACAATTAATCCTTAATTACTTTTTTCTTTTTTAGAATAAACCTTATTTTCCCTCTCTCTCTCTCTCTCTCTCTTCTCTTCTCTTGTTCCCTCTCTTTCCCTCTCACCTCCCACGCTTCTCCCTCTTTTTTCTCTCCTCTATCGTCACCTTCTTTTCTTTCATCCACTCTCTTCTATACATACACCATGCACACAAAACAACATGCATACACTGTTTTTATCTTTTGCTGTAATCACGTGACACCATTAAACAACTTTTAGACATCACTCAAAACGCCCGCAACAAAAAAAACCGAACACATCTAGTCACGTGATGACGTCACAGGTGACGTAACATCGCGCACGTGTTGCTATACTTTGAAGTAGAGAAGAACGAAGAGGATTAGGCGTTATCGACGCTTCTGTACGAGCGTTACATCATAGCGACGTTTTGTTTTCGGAATGAATTCAGACTGATGACGACGTTCAAAGATTAGATGGACAGTCACGCCGAGAGAGCGGGCGCAGCTGTATTTAGAATTTATTCCTATTTTTTTTTGTTTTATTATCTTTTTCTCTTCTCTTTTCAATTCTTAATCCTTGGACAAACGGAGTAAGGCGAGGGAGGGAGGGAGGGAAGGAGAGAAGAGAGAGAGAGAGAGAGAAAAAAAAAGGGGCTAGCGAAGCAGGTGTTGGGTGGGTAGATTTTTATTGAGGATAGCCGCCCTCCTTTTTTATTTTTTATTTATGGAAGAGGCGGCTATTTTAGGCGTATTGACGATGAAAAGAAAAGTCTCTCCTGTAATTAAACGGCGAAAAACGTCTACCATAGAATTATTTATTGAGTGCCGAAGCGCAAGTGTCGAACGTGTGAAAATGGCCTTAAAGTCGATAAACTTTTATTTTTTTATACTCTCTTTTTCTTTCTCTTTTTGGGTCAGACCATTCACCTTGACACTTAATAAATCGTTTTAATCCTCAATTAGACGCTAACACCGTCTGTCAAAGTGTCTAGATAAAATCCTACTTCAAGTTTTAACAACAAATAAAGCTTTATTTCACCTAATTTATTTTTGAGCCAATTAAGTAAAATTTTGTGTCGAAGAGAAGAAAATTCAGCTGCGGTACGGAAAGATAAAAAAAAAACAGCACGTGGGGTCTCAAGCCGTAAAAGACAGTGTGCTAAAAAAGAGGCACTTGGTTACGTAATACTCAAGTGTCGTAATGTGGTGACAAGAAGAAGGTACACCCCAGTCTCGGCCGACCGTTCATCACAGAACATTCATAATTACATTATGCATTTAATTAAAAACTCGAGAAAGCTCTCTCCTAGAAGTGATACTTGTAATAATATAAAAGTAACAGATGTATGTTCTTTGATGACGTCATAGACTGGTTAATCTATGCTAATGTTAACGAAGGAAATTATTATCGATATTATCTTTTTATCGATCGGAAAAGATATTTCACGTTTGGTTTGTTTCGCTAATTGAGGTATCTTTTATTGGAACAAGTGAATTTTTGATGTTTTCATAAAATCAACATCGAAGGACTTATTTACATAAATTAACGCACGACATAAAACGTTTATGGCTGCTTATAGGGGTAATATAGCGTCTGTCGCATACCGGCATATTAATACGGGCTTTTCAAAATATTACTTTTCATCTCTTTAGCGTATACGTCATAGAGGCTTGTTATCACTATAAATTATCAACAATTTATTTATAATTCCCTCAGCCATATGGTAAAAGGAAAGACGTTTCCCGACTTGTAATTATAACACTTAATTCATTCAACTTTATTAACCATTTTTTGATTACTATATGCTGGTGATTCTTTCAATCATTCAAGAGTACAATATTCGCTTTAACAATTTCCCTCTCACCTCTCCCTCTCCCTCTCTCTCTCTCTCCCCCTGGTCCCTCCCTCCCTCAGTGATAATTGAACAGTTATTCAACAATTTTCTTTTATCCTTCTTTATTGATGTTTTATTTTTAATATATTGAAATTGAAAATAAACAAAATAAACTAAAAGACGAAATATATTTTAATCCTATATATGTAACTTGATAAAAGACCAGGAAATCGCATGCTGAGATTTCACCCCATCGACCACTTCCTAATTTCACTAAGTGCCCCTATTACAGAACACCACCCACCACATATCATACTCTATACGGCAGAGGCGTCTATTACAAAGCCCCGCCATTTAACGCCGTGAAGCACGTGCCTCTGGAACGTCAGCTCTCGAATAACCGGCTGGAAAAAAAGAGGGTAACCGTCACGAGGGATTTGCGGCAGATAGGCGTCTAATTGCCGTCTCTTTTCACTCGTCATGTCACGCGCTAATCGGCGTCGACGCCGTGGCCGCCAGCGTTTTTCGGACGCAAAATAGAGGCGGTGAAAAAAGGTGATGCTTCTGTGGAAAACTTCAAAAAAAAAAACACTGATGAGATTTTTATAGATAAAATCTAGGAAAATATTGTATGTTAAAGGGAAGGAACAAGGTATAATTAGCTTAATTTGTTTTCATTTGATTCTTTCTCTTTTCCTCTTTCATTTTTTCCAATGTCAGATGAAAAGGATGATATATCTTTTTTTCTTTTCTTTTTCTTTTTCTTTTCCTTCTTCTTCTTCTTCTTTTTCCTTTAGTCTTCTTTCTCCTTCTCCTTCTCCTTCTCCTTCTCCTTCTCCTTCTTCTAACTTTTCTCTTTCTCCTTCTTTTCCAACCACTTTGTCCTAGTCCGATTTGCTTCTCTACAAGAGGTCCTCCTAATTCGCCGAGTATTTTATCCCAGTATACCACGAAATCTCCTTAGAAAAGTGTAGCATTTCCTTAATCTGGAGATATTAGACGGCGAAAATCAACTGGAATACTTCAAAGTTTCCCGCGAAGAGATATTATCTATAAAAAAAAAAGAGAAAAAAAATGACACGATCTTGGATTAATTTAGCGAAAGAATTAATCTGTCCAGGTGTTTTCCGGATGCCGCGATAACGAGATTGAACGCTGGCCAACCGGACCGAAACGACTCGATAAACATAAACGCGTGTTGAAGGTCGTATATTTAGCCGTAAAGGGGCTTTGAATGAGAATGAACGGTAGA